GGGGGGTGGAGCGGCGAACACCACATCAAAACTACAGCTTCAGCAATAAAATTACTTATAAATTAATCTAATGTAGTTTTCTTTCCAAAATTGGCATACTTCATATCCTATACTTATGTTATATTTTGCAACTTAAAGCTAACGTTTTACTCTAGAATCAGCTGAGTTCTTTCAATCAACACCTACCCCCCTAACATTCAACCAACACCTACCCCATGCATGTCACCCCCCACTTTTCCATTTGGTGAGGATTTCAACCATCACCTAGTAGGTGTTTGTAGTTGCCAGTATGTTAGGGTTAAGTTTAAAACTCTCATGTTGTGATGGTGCATAGCTATGCCGAGAGGCCGAGCTGCGATAGACGAGAACAAAACTATTACAATTATCTTACATAGAGGATAAAGCAGTTCCTGCCAGGCTGAGAAGGCAGAGTGATGTTCAATTTCCCAAGCTTGGCTTCCAAGTGGAATGCTTCCCAAGCCTGTTCTTTACCATCTCAATATCGCCCGAAAAGATTCCCTGAGGTTCAACTTGCTTTGTTGGCCTTTTTGTCAACTTGCTGCCCTTTAGAACCTCCGCCGTCCATCTGCGCTTGTTCGGCACGAGTTGCGTGAGTGCACGCCGAGGTGGTCTTAAGAGCTGCGCCCTTTCAAAGTCGATCACCATGATCCCGTTAATCTCCTTATTAAACACCATGTTTTCCTTCCGCACGTCTTTGTGCACAACACCCTGACAATGAATTGCACCCAATGACTGCATTGCCATCGCTTCCAGGTGCCAATCTCCACCGCTTACGCCCTCTATCGTAGAGAGATCATGTCCTCCCCACGACAGAAATGTCATATGCACCACGTAGACTCGGTGATCGTAATAATAAGTCCTGTTCAGCGGCCGGAGGTCAATGGCCCCAAGAAACACAGGCACATGTGTACCTTGGATAGGCCGTAGACGCTCGTAAACGGCTGCCTCGTGCTCAAGGTCTTTGATGAATGCCCGTACTGTACCCTTGCTGACAAAGGTATAGCTATATGCAAGCAGGCTCACTTTAAACATGACTCCCCGCGCACCGCCTTGTCCTAAAGGTGTTATGCCGTCGTCTAGTGTCTGTTCTAGCTGCTCTCTGAGAAGCTTCACGAATCTAGTGTGGTTGATTGGATGATGAGTATCTGGGCGGTTACTGCTGTGGTCGTGGCGGCGGCCATTGCTCGGCTTCCTACTGTGAAAGAAGTTGTTTGGGCACCCTGAGTCGAGGACTCCGCCGCTAACAAGCCCCAATAAGCACTTCTGGGTGCAATACGGCGTATGTTTGTCGTTTCTTCCCCTTTCTCCACTATCTCGAGGCCGATGCGCTAGGATCCGCTCACTGCGTCGGGTTCCCTGACTACCTTGATCGCCCCGGATTTCGGTGTCCCTTCCGCGTGTCTGCCGCTCCCTTGGAGTGGGTGTGTCTGGTATATCCCGTCTCGACTCGTCCTCAGATGATTCATCCGTGTCCCTCCTTACTTGCTCCCTGGCATGTCCGTCCCTCGTATGTCCTCGCCTCTTCCTTCGGATGAAGCAAGATCTGTCGATATCCTTGTAAGCCTTCGGTTCGTATCCCGGCGAGCTCTCCGGTGGCTGCCTTTCTTCGTCTGGAACTGATCGTAGCGTCGTCTCGAAGTCTTCCGCCCACGTCTTCAGCTTGTCCATAGCTTGGCGCCGCTCATCCTGTCCATGTGGCTGTCGCTCGCCTGGCATACCAAGAGCAATCAGGCTGAAGGCCAGATACTGAGCAACTGCCGTACAGAGGTGGGGATGCTCGGGGTGAGCATCCACCTCCGCAGACGGCTCCGCTAGATGATAGAAGAGTGTCTCGGGCTCGCGCCAGTCAATCTTCAAGAACACGATCGCCTCGCCCGTCGTCAACAAGCCGTGCTCGAGTCCGCCTTCGATCATGTAGTGATAGGTCTGTGAGATGGCGGCTGCCGTAAGTCTCTCCGCATAATACTGGAACCGCGCGTCTGGGTCAACTGATGTAGGGATGGTCTTTCGGTTGACCACCTCTTTATATATATTCATCGGACGCAGACCGAGGCGAAGATGCGGCGCAGTAAGCTTATGCGGTGGTTTATATTCGGAAACGTAGAGCATCGAACGGCTACTCGAGTCGTCGTCGTTTTCGGATCGGTAGACGCAGATCTGATCGGCTCGTAGCTGTTTGAGGTTGACTTTGCTGTTGTGCGGTGTGGAGGGGGGTGTCGATGGGACGTTGCGGTCAACGACTTCCTCGGCTATGTCGCTGATGGCATGCGGGTGGTTCTCGAAGACGATTCCGTTGCCTAGATCGAACGCGCTTTTGACTTTTTCCACCTCCTTGAGCTCGTCCATGATCGTTCGAACGGGGTCCTCGACGCTGTTATGTAGGAAGTACTCGAGGGCCTTTTCGTCAGTGATCTTGCGCTTCGCGATTCTGTTGCCTAGGCCTGACAGAAACGATCGGCTCTCGAAGCGGCGTCCGTGGACGGGAAAAGTGCTGTAGAGGGTGCCGAATACCATGCTCTGTTGCTGCAGGAAGTTGGGCCATGGCTGGAGATTGGTCGGACACCACTTATCCCGCGGATTTGTAATGGAACCCTTGGAGGTCAGTCTACGGTCAGTTTCGACAGTAAATTTGGTGTAAACGAGGGAATGACAGGCAGCGATGTATTCGTCGAGCGAAGTAGGTTGGGTTTGTTGTTCTGCCTCGTCGGCACGCTGTTGTTCTCGCCGTCGTTCTCCTTCTGCCGCCTCAGCGCGTTGTTGTTCTCGCTGTCGTTCGCTTTCTGCCGCCTCAGCGCGTTGTTGTTCTGCCTCAGCGCGTTGTTGTTCTCGCTGTCGTTCGCTTTCTGCCGCCTCAGCGCGTTGTTGTTCTGCCTCAGCGCGTCCCTCGGCTTGTTGCAAAAGCCTGGTCAATTCATCAACACTTCGTCGTTCGCCCATGATGGCTGTGGCTGACGTCCTGATAACGGTCGGTTTCTAGAATTGTTGTTCAACGGGAGAGAAAGCGTTGGCTCAAAGCCTAGCCTTACCATTAGAGTGGATTCTTTTGCGTTACTAGGGGTTACCCTACCCGAGCATTGTCAGCGTGCAGAGGGTGCTGATGCACGAGCCACATCCCTGATATCAGAGTCGTGGCCCGTGCGTGCTGAACTGACTTCCGCTGGTCATTCGCCGATTTGACGTCCATCGTTATTACGAGAGAATGCTGCTCAGGCGCTAGCAGTGCAGCGGGCGAGGCCGGATGTCGATACAGCACAGCAGAATGTCCGTCGAATCGATACAACGCGCCGTGGCCTTCGACGTTTTCAGTATCCTGGCAGGGAGCACCTTACGCAACCGTATGTGACCTATCGAAACGTATACCAAGAGCGAGTGACGATGACGATGCGTTTGTCGCACTGCATGTAGACAATATTGCATCTGGGGAACTGGTGGTGAATACCATCACAATGCCTCGGAACACTACCTGTGTGCCCAGACCCGAAAGGTAAATCAAAGCTGGTTGAAAGCAATGAATGGAGTGGCGCATGAGGAAGCCATGCGTCCTGTGACATCCATCCTTGCTTTAGACGCCAAGTTGCCTTCGGGGCCCGGGCAAAGATAACGGCTGGTCGTGCCTCACATTTACCTGGTGTCGAACTAATTGATCTTTCCTTGCAAAACAAGCCGTATTAGGGCACCCAGGTAACGTCCCGTGATACCAACATCAGCACTCAATCTTATGGGACGTGACACTCCACGAATAGCCTTTATGGGTTTTCACACTGGACGTTCATTCTGGACGGCCATCCTGGAGGAGGCTGACGTTAGAAGAATGCCATCTGAGACGATGTGCTCTCTGATGTAATATAACCGTCGCCTTCTGGTAGGAATGCACATCCATGTCTCAGACATGTAGTTGTCTCCCCTTTCACTGAAAACCTGCCCTCATCATTTCCGAGCTGCTTACATTAATAGTTTTCTTCGTAGCTCTCCCTCAACATCCCAGGTGCCGTACCAACACCATCTCCTTCTCTCCGAATAGAAAATGGTGCAATGTCTGGGTTGAAATCATTTCGGCGACCACAAAGCAAATTTCAAGTCGCTTTAACGCCCCGCTCAAGAATAGCACTCAAAATCGAGACGAAGGTTATAGTCAGCGATGATACTCGCGACTCAATGATCGTTAGCCGGATCGTTTCTCAATCAACGAGATTGTTAGGCGCACATTCATTATATTGTTAGCCCCATGCTTATCAACTACTACGCACGATTTTCTCCAACTAGCGCCGGGCTGGCGGGGTTTGGGATGTCTCTATGCTGGGGTTACTTCCCGTCGTTACCCTGTACATATCAGGGGGGCCACCACTCATTCGCTAGATACGCACACCGATACATACCGATGACCCCCTAATACCTTTGTCACTAACCTGCACCGTGGGCTTTTGTCAACGAAGTCTTGGATGCCTGTTGCAGCGAAATTGCAACGGCTGTGAACCGACGCCAGTCTTTCCCTCTCTACAGACGGTTCCATGTAAACACTCCACTCTTATCTGGACAAACGGTTGGTGTAACACATGTAAGCATCGTCTAGACTGAGTGGGGCAGATGGACACTGGTACTTACCGGTACCGTACCTACTTAAAGTAGCCGCCCCCCCCAACCCTCCAAACGCCTTCTTCTGCGGGGTAATGTTGCTTCACCGCCTCCAAACCAAACGTGCCCCTATAGGCATCACACCCATCTATCTCTGTTGGTTCACGGGGTCGTATACGACAAATAGTGGTAGCAATTATCACTCGTCTGTTGGTGATCCTATTGCTTGTTCTTCTTGTTGTTGTTCTATCTTACATTGTAGGCAGGAGTCGGTCGAAGTAGGTAGTGACGGCCTGTGTGGTTGCCCCACCTTTATCCGGCCGTGATGACTAAGCCAGTTGTCCCACTTCGCCCAGGGCAGGTGCCAGCCAGCCCATGGTACCTACCTATTACTCCTTATCAGCCTTTGCTGTTCCAACAATCTCTTTTTAACCTCCTTCCACCTGAGCTCCTGTAAATGCTCAATCATCACCTCTGAAGTTTGCGCCCTGCAATGTTCGATAATCCTCCAAGACCTAACTCGGCCTTCGATACACAAAATGGTCACGACGATGAAATTCCATCTTTGAACCAAAAGGGCGAGTTTGTCGCGATCGGCTCAACATCCTATGTGGAGCGCTTACCCAATCGTACCATCATCAAGACAGCCTGGCCCGGCGGCGACCGCGCCCAGCAGCGACGCCGCGAAATCGCTACAGAAGCCGAAATATACGATCGTCTTGGTGAACATCCTTGTTTAGTCAAAAAGAAGGACTGGGACCCAGACAAATATATCTTGACCCTGGAAGATATGCCCAACGGAACACTCAAAGACTATCTCGAGTCCCACGCGGACGTGCCTCTGGACCAGCGAAAAAAATGGGTAACTGAAGCTGTTAAGTGCATCCAGCTTCTGCACAGTTCAGTCATCATTCACTGCGACATTGGGCCGCACAATTTCCTCCTGGATGACTGTCTTCGTCTTAAAATCATTGACTTCTCTGGATCCTCCGTTGACGGCTCTTACACTGAGATCAGCCCTGGCACTCGATACGCAGCGCCCACACTGGACCGCTCTTTGCAGTGGACGCCAACAGTCAAAACGGACCTCTTCAGTTTAGGTTCAACGATATACTACATTATGATGGGCAAAGCTCCGTTTGAGGAATTCCAGAGTGAATATGTCCAGAAGATGTACCGCAACCAAGAATTCCCCGACTTGACTGGCATACCTCATGCAGATATAATCCGAAGCTGCTGGTCTCAGGATTCGGAGTCCGTGGATGGGCTGGTTCCTTACGTCTGAGTAGAGGATTGGGACCATGTAACTTGCCAGTTTAAGCAGGATGGGCATGAGGGCTGGGACTGTTGGATCTCTGAGCAGTCGGCAGAAAAGGTGGATCTGGAAGGCGGTATGGGCACTTACAAACGGCCCCTTACATACCACTTCTGAGAGGCCGTGGGCTCTGCCCACAACCTCCTCCTTCCACCTCCAGACGCAGCAATAATAGACCATTATTGACCCTTCGTTCCAACCGTACGGTTGCCCTGCTGACGTGTATACCAACACGTACCATGGCTAGTGCTCGTACTAGAGGCAGCCGGCGTGTTTGACCTCGGTGGGCTTAAGCCCGAGCCACTCATTGGTTGTGGCATCAGGAGACTGTCGTCGCTGGCTTGGGTTGACAGGGTCTGGCTTGATCCCGCCCCTTCTTGTTGACGGGCGCCAGATCTCGTCGTTACTCCTGGTCTCGCCGATATGGGCTCCTCGGGCTCAGCCGCCATCTTGGTCTTCTTCCTTGGCCGCGTGGTGCCCTTTTATGCTTTGGTCGAAGGGCTCGTACTTTACACGTTGGAAGGTATAGTCGTTGGATTGTCGCGCGGGCGTAATTCGCGGGCCGCGGGAATGGATGTGATAGTCGCGCGGGCTGGCCGCGGTTGGTGTACTTGACAGACTTGAAGTCGCGGTTTTGCCGCGAGGAAGTCGGTATAAGTGAAGGGTCCTCCGTCGGTCGTCGGGCGCTCGAGGCGTCTGGCCGGTCGACCGTCGAAGGCGTTGCTGACGTGATAGACACCTACCTCTCGTGAGTAGTCAAGGAGCCACGATTCCTCTATCCCGTCCGGTATTAGAGGGTCGTCTCTTCTGTTTCGCGGGATGCCTTGCTGATCTGCGATAGTGGAATTTAACCACTGATCAGTGTTGGTATCCCTATCACAGGGATGTTGGTTCGAACCGTAGGGTCCTGTGGGTGACGAAGTATCAATATCTCTGTATTGACTGATTCTGCGTAAGGAGTAAAAGGGAGATTCCAACCGGAGGTTGGGTGGGTAGTCGAGGTCTAAGTATACTCCCTCGAGGTGGCCCATGCTCTGCCCCTACTCGCGGCCGAATTGGACTTCCAATCCGACAAAAACATCACCGAAACGGAAAAGCTCGCAGAGATGAAGGCGGATGGCACAGTGACGAAGCGCATCTACGAGTACCTATCGCTCAGCAGAAGACCGCTCACTCATTACGACACCACAATCTTCAAAATCATGGCCGCCCGGGATTGTATACTAACTTATGACCACGTTTTTGACCGGTAAGTAGCGTGGTAAAGCTATTTGCTTTGCGGTATATGCTAACTATACTCCAAGGTACGCTGCGAAGCTCATGTTCTCTCAGAGTGCTCAGCTGGTTAGAGCCATGATAAAGGAAAACCATACTGTGATCGAGAAGTGGCCGTTCAGATTGAAGCTGCGGCCCCGACAGACTGGCGCCCAGGAGGAGTTTGACCGCCTCCTAGGAGGAGGAGTTTTAAGTAAGGAGCGTTACGTGGAATGGAAGAGGATTGAAGCATTAGGATGAGGTGTGGAAGATAGCTACAGATCAGGGAGAAGGCAGTAGACTTATGGAATAGTCCTTCCACCCATGGGAGCATGAGAGCGGCGAAATACAATGCTTTTAGACGACAGTTTTGCTATCCGGGCAGACCCACCTTTCCCACCCATCGTAGCGTCTGGTTCATTGGAGTTTTCTTTTGGCCCGCGCGTCCCGCAATAGCCGTAACTAGCGCAAACACCCCGCATTTTGACGGGCAATTTGACTACTTCGACTTCTACTGCTTATGTAAAGTTGTATAATTCGACATTATGTTGGCTTTTGTTGCGGTAATCGAGAGATCACGTCGAATCTCGATTTTGGTCAAAATTGGCTTGACTACGGCCTCCAATTGGTCAATTGAGCGGGTCAGATATTCCCCGGCGCCGTAGATGCCGGCGGCTACCTAGCGCCTCGTCTGCTGCGTCTCTTCGCCGCGTGGACGTCTCCTCCAACCGTAATGCAGTCCTGGACAGTTTCTTGCGGTGGCTCGGCTGTCAATTCGTCCTCTGTATCATACTCGTACGCTGAACGGTTGCGACGAATGCCCGCCCGTACTAACCGTGGCGCTGAATTGCCGACCTTGCGAGGTGGTCTGGGCTGACTGCTGCGCGGCGGAGCGGTAGCGCTGCGTCTTGGGTGGAAGTAGTAAGTACGTACTTGAAAGGTGGAAATTGCGAGCTTGGGCCAGCGCGGCAAGTGCGGAGGGTGGACCGACGAAGGTGCGCTAAGTTTACTGAACGCTGATTGGCTTACAAGGCCACATTAAACTGGATTACTGCCCGGATAGCAAAACTCTTTACGAGTCACTTGGCAGACATATGTACTGTGCACAGGGTTCATCCAGATTTCTTGTAGACGGAATCTGCTAGTTATGATAAGCAATGATGCGTTACGCAAAATATGCGATTCGCCTCTGGCTAATAAGCTTATCTGTTAACGAGTTTCGCGTTTAGCCTCCTGTCAACAAACGCAGATAAGCGGCGGATCTATGTTTAGCGTATGGGTAATAGCCTATAGGGGGTGAGGGGATAGCTACTGGTATGCTTTGGTACGTGTCTGGGTAGAATATGGACGGTCATTAGAACTAATCCCTGGCTGAGCTAAATGTGGATCGTATGAGCAGAGGTAATGAACAGGGATACCTACTCTTGATCGTCGAAAAGGCTCTTCTCGTTGCCGGAAACGTTTCTGGGAAGGCCGACTCCTCTGCGCGTCACCAAGCCACATCCTGCTCGTCCGGGCAGATGTGAGCCTTCTCAATTGAGACGGTATAACATAGCAGATAGTAATCACTTCTCGAGCTAGAAACGCATCTTAGTGCGCACTAATAGTGACGCAGGGCACCCGTAGCTGGTCCAGGACGAGGCAGATGGGCAGGTTTGCTTGATCAGAACGATTGGTCATGACCAGAATCTTCGAACGATCAAATTTTCTCAGTATCGGGACAATCCAGACCCAATATAAATGCATTGAACAATTATATATAACGTGAATGATAAGCGAGTGAGACAGACAAGCGAGTGAGACACAAAACTGCGCCGATGATGCTTCAACACAAATGGAGACGTTTCTTCCACAACACATCATGGCATCCAGAAGTAATGAGTCAGGCATACAGCTGGCCCTTCAAGCTATCAGAATCAATCCAGAGCTTAGTGCACGGGCTGCAGCTACGATCTACTCGGTCAGCCATGCAACATTGAGTCGACGATTGAAGGGCTCTACATCTCGAAGCGACAGGATACCGAACTCGAGGAATCTTACTTTGCTAGAAGAGCAGACGTTAGTTGATCACATCTCGATCTAGATGCCCGATCATTCCCTCCCCGGATCCGTGGTGTGGAAGAAATGGCTGATCGACTGCTTGCTGATCGCGACGCGCCTCCGGTTGGGAAGTGTTGGTTCACGGGGTCGTATACGACAAATAGTGGTAGCAATTATCACTCGTCTGTTGGTGATCCTATTGCTTGTTCTTCTTGTTGTTCTTCTATCTTACATTGTAGGCAGGAGTCGGTCGAAGTAGGTAGTGACGGCCTGTGTGGTTGCCCCACCTTTATCCGGCCGTGATGACTAAGCCAGTTGTCCCACTTCGCCCAGGGCAGGTGCCAGCCAGCCCATGGTACCTTCCCATTACTCCTTATCAGCCTTTGCTGTTCCAACACTGGGAACTCTCTCTCTTTGTGGCTGATAAGGACGGATTCAGGCTTATTCGTACACAAGGTAACAACAGTTACCGACCAACTCCTCCTCTATACCTCCATATCACGTACGTGTGACCCATCCTTCCATACGTATCTTCGCGTTGTTGTTAGTGATGAGTCCTTCCAATGCTCGGTTTGGCGATGCCTTGGTGAATCCGTCGGCTGGGTTATCGTCGCCGTAGATCCACCGTACTTCACAAAGTTCGCGTCGCTCGTAGGACTGTCTCAGTGCCATAATGTCTATCATAAGTCGCTTCTCCTGAGTAGTGCCGAGTTTGACCAGGCACTCGTATAGGGAATATGAATCCGTACACGCGATCGTAGGGATAATTGGCGTACCAAGTTTATCAGTGACCATCGCGATAGTCGAGGAGATAGCGTATGCCATATCGACTCCAGCGACCATACCGTAGACCTCGGAGGCCAGTACGCTTCGCGTCACGCGCTTTGACTTCGTCGATGAGAAGTGGATGATATTGCCGTGGATAGCAAAGTTGCCATTGTCATCATCAAGGTCTTCGTTAGCGAGGATAATAACGAATCCCAATTGTGAGGTAAGATCGCTATTATTAGCGAATGAACCGTCGACGAATATGAAGAGTTTAGCAGTTGCTAAGTCGAGTGGGATGAAGTGCAGCCCGCGGTCAAGCGAGTCCATCTGCCATTTGAGGCGACGGTTGAGCGCCTTGATATTCTCATCATTGGGCTCCTTGTGCTGGGCCGCGGTCGATAGGTCGAAGCATGCTTCCGGTTGGCAGATCGAAGCAATATACGCGCCGCGGGCGCGTTGCTGGACGTAATCCTGCTGGGCAGTGGGTGAAGTTGCGTCGATGAGTTGCAGCTTCGTACCCTGTCCCTTCTGGATGAGGGTGATAGATGTATCAGTTGCTGAGGTTAGTGATACGATACCTCCGTTGAAGACGAGCTGCTCTGTAGCAGTGAGAAAAGCTTTTTCCTTGGCGGAGAATTTCGCCTTGGCGAGCTCGTTGTTCTCTCGTTCGGAAAATCGGGTGTCCGTGAGTCCGATAGTGTCGTCTGTTTGCATACCGATGAGGGCGAAGTCTGGGTTTTCGTCGGATGACAACAGAAGGCAAGGGTCGTATGAAGTAGTCATCATCTGGAGATTCTCTCTGTGATGGCGACTATACGTTGCCCACCAGTGGGTGCCTGCCTCTGCGAGTCCGTATAATGGCTTAACGACCTTCATGATGGTGCCGTTAGGGTAGTTGCGACGTATCTCGTTGGGTATGCGCGCGTAGATGCTGCGATTTAGCTGCGAGGTGGATTGAACGTACGCCTGCGTGATGTCACGGAGCCATAGTTGCTTCCCGTCGCGTAGTAGGGTGGGTGTGAGTGCGAGAATGAGTCGCTGGCTGGCTCGTTGTATGGTTGGAGACTGGGTAAGGATTGCTTCCTTCCCATCATCGGCATAACCTTGGATAACCAAGCGCGACTTCTCGTAGGGCTTTTCCGTGGTCTTGCCCTTTACCTCGTTGACGATACGTGATTTGAACACGCGGTCGGTGTGAATGGCAGGGTCGAAGAGGATGAATTCAAATACGCCGTGTTCGATGAGGCTGTCGATTTCGTTCTTCGTTGCCAGCTCGAACGGTGGGCCTGGCGTAGTGATGATGCCCTTGTCGCGTAGTTGCTGAGCGAGCTCTCTGTCAGCTGCCTCTTTCTGCGAAAGGAAGGAGAAAGGGACGTCTGTTTCTTGCAATAGTACGTCGGCATAGAGATGTATGTTTTTATGAGGTCGTCCTCGCGTGCGGCGGGGGGGTTGGGGAGTCGCTATAGAGACTACGTCTCTGGGAGTAGTGGCGACGGTAATAGTATCTTCAGTATAACCGCCATCATCATCAGCATCAGTATCGGCGGTCGGTTGGGGAACCGCGTCGCCTGTAGTGGTTTCCCCGTTGTCTTCGTAATACGGCTTCACTGTAGTTGATCGGAATTTTCGCGGGCCGTTGGCGTCAACGGTGCAGTCTTCGTTGTCGACTGCGAGAAGGCGGTGAGGGCCAGACCAGCCTTTGCCCTCGCGCCAGACGCGTACCTGTGAGCCGATCGCGAGGTCCTTCAGCGTAGAGGTATCTGGGCCGTTACGCGCCTCGAGGGCCGCGTTGACCTGCTGTTTCGCGTGGTATCTGCGAAGGTCGTCGCTGGCCTTGCGTACGGCAGCTGCGCGTTTGATGATGTCAGGTGACGGGGCAGAGTCAGCGGTCATTCGTGGGTAGGCGCCAAATACCAAAAGGGTAGGTATAATGCCGTCAGGGCCGGCAGTATCGTTAATGGCCTTTATAGCGCTTTGGAGGGCTGCTTCGCGTGTGATAGATGGGCATTCCTTGCGTATGATTTCGTAGGCGCGTCGGAGTACTGCGTGATATCTCTCGACTTTTCCAATGCTGTGATGTGCCTCTACAGGGACGATCTTGACCTCGACTCCCATTGCATGGGCCTCACGGCGAAATTCAGTCGCGGTGAAGTTACGCCCGGCGTCTGTAGTGATCCAGTCCGGAGGTCCCTGGTAGACGTCAATCCAGTATAGGCGGAGGGCTTCCCATGTGGTCTTGGCCGAAATGTCGTGTAAGAAGCAGGCTGCGTTAAAGGCAGTTGCAGAGTCGATCACATGAAGTACGGGTTGGTCACCGTCAAGATACATGATATCAACTATCACCTCGTAGTTGAATGCGCACTCATCTCGGAGGTTGAACTTGAATCGCGTGGGGCTCTTGCCGTTCATTTGGCACTGGTGGCAGTGCTTGGTTAGTTGCTCGATGGCTCTGATCTCCACGTCGTTGTGGCCAGCCTCGTGAAGAACCTTGTGAAGTCGCTGGACCGATGGGTGACCGAATCGGCGATGAAGTCTTCGTAACTCTACGTCAGTGAGATGGTTGCTCGAAAGGCTACGTTCAGGTGGTCCAAGTAGCATCCATGGATGGCCCCATTTGCGTATGACTGGTATCACAACGTTGCCTTGTTGCATGGTGTTGGCAAGGTTGTTAAAGTGGATGAGCAGACGGTCCATATCAGCAAGGCAGAGAAGGAACGGGGTATTGGTTGGTACCAAGTGAAATTCGATGGGTCCGAAAGGTGTGGCCACAGTGACCGTACCCCTCGAAGAGATGGGGTTGCCGTTGCCGAACCGAATACTGGCGTTGCCGGCGGTCGTAGTGTTGATAGTTGCCTCTGGTTGGATTCGTCGAAGGGCAACTGCCTGCGGGTGACCGGCAGTGGAAAAACCAGATGCTCCGGTATCCGGCATGATACCTTGAAAGACTTCCGCAGAGTACCGGTCAAGTGTGAATGCGGCGGCTGCTTCCTTCGTTGCGTGGTCGTATGGGTCAGACTTCGTCAACTGATGATATACTGACTGGTCTGCGAGGTTGGCGGCGACTGCATTGCCGTCAAGGGCTAGGCTGCCGAAGAACGCGGTGCTTGTGAGGAAGGTATTGCCCTGCTCTTCTCCGTGTTTTTCGCCGCTGGCTTGGAGGCATTGGTGGAGGTCCTCATCCTCCTCAGCCTCACTCGTGGGATCGGTTCCTTCATACGCCGTGAGGAAGGCGTTGTAGGCGGTTGACGAGGTATCTCGTACGTCGCGGTTGCTTTTGTATCGCTCATATGCCTTTTGGCGATCTTCAATTGAGTGCTCGGTTGACCAACAGCCGGTTCGTTTGCACACGAAACACTTCCTGCTGCCGCGGCCGCCACTTTTGATATCAGACTCCTTCATGGCCCGGCCGTGGTGGTTGTTGCCGAATCGGTTGTTGCGTCCCTGACCGCGATAGGTGCGGTCGACCCAATGTTGGTCGATACGGTCGGGTTGTTGGGTGAGGTATTGGTTATGCTGTTCGATCCTTATTGCAGTGTTCACTGCCGATCGCAACTGGTTACAGACTCCTTCCAATGTTGGTGAGGGGTTGTATAGGCATAATTGACATTCTTTGATTCCGGAACAAGCATTGAGGAGCTGGGTGCGTAAGACTTCGTCAGAGTGGTAGCTGTCAGGTAGTGCCCGTTGTATGAGGGCGAGCTTCTCGATGAGGTCGTCAAGGACTTGAGTCTTTGATTTGTCAGGGTGTTTCTGCGTAATACGGTCGAAAGTCGTTTCACGCCATTCAGAGAGGTAACCCTGGAGCTTCTCTTCGTTCTCAAAATACCCTTTGACGTTGTCGACCATCGTATCGAAGTCACGGATGCCTCTGCCGCAGAGACGGTTGGCGTAGAAGATAGACGCCTTGCCGCGGAGCATAATCGAGAAGGCAGGAGCCAGCTGGTGCTCCTCAATACCTACCTTGCTGCAGTTGTCGCGGAAGAGGTTCATCTTGAGGTCGAATACGTCATACATCTCACCGCTGTATTTCATATCGTCAGTGACCAGCTTGGAGAGGTCACTTAGCTGCCGCGACGACGGTTGGGTAGTGGGAGTAGCCTGGCGGTCTCGTGACCACGGTAGGTAGTCTTCATGTTGCCGATAGTCGATAATGGGTGAGGGATGTGGAGAATGCCGTGGGGTTGACGGCTTCGAAATCGCTGGTTGACGTGAAGTGTGATGGGATCGCGGTGTGTCGAGGTTGTGAGGGTTTCGGTTGGCAGCGTAGTTGGCAGCAAGTTGCTTGGCGACCATCTCATTCATCTCGTGGTCTGCCTGTGCCTTCGCTGCGCGCGCCTCATTGTTCATTCGCTGTCGCTCCGCTGGGCTGATGTATCCTCGCGTGATATCTGCGAGGAAGCCTGGTTGTTGCTCAACAAGGTCGTTGAAGTCCTTCGCCTTGGCGCGTATTTCTTCGACTTCTTCACCAGTCCATGGATGAAAATCTTCGCCTTCAAGGACAGCGACGAGGTTGGGGGCAACGCGAGAGCGGTCACGTGGGGTGTAAACTCCGCGATAGAGTAGGAAGTCGCGAAAAATACCGAGGGGCCTCGTCGAGGCGGCGTTAAATAGGTCTGTGTCCCATCCATCGAATTCTCGCTGGAAGGAGAGCCATAAGTCGCGGCCATAGAGCCCTTGCTCGGTCCAATTGGCTGTGTGCCATGACATGAACGTTGAGATACGTATCGGGTTACGCTCGTTGAGAAGAATGTCGTCATGGTTGAAGTAGGCCGGGTCGGTGTACTTATGTATCGCAGGAAGGATGTGAAGCTCACCTAGCTGCGAGGGTATAGATGACGGTTGTGCCATGGTGATGATGAAGTTGGCTGTTCGAGTTAGTCTGTTGGGGTGTTTTGGTAGCAATCGCTGCGCAATCTGCGCGTAAGATGAGAAGGTGAAGTGTATGAAATGGAGTATCGCGGCCACGCAGAGGTCTCTTCCGACGGTACCAGGTACGGAGGGATTCTCGTCTGCAAAGGTAGTCGTGATAGCGTGATAGACGCACTCGCGCTCGGGCTGCTGAGGCCGGAGGGAGTTTTGAGGTTCTCGTGGACTTTCGTGAAGTAGTCGACGTTACTGCTCGTTAGCAGCTGCGCGGGTTTTCAGGCCGGCGAGCTCTCTTCGTGGTATTACCTTATTAATCTGTGGTGATTCGTGAGAAGTCAACCACTGATCAGTGTTGGTTCACGGGTTCGTATACGACAAATAGTGGTAGCAATTATCACTCGTCTGTTGGTGATCCTATTGCTTGTTCTTCTTGTTGTTCTTCTATCTTACATTGTAGGCAGGAGTCGGTCGAAGTAGGTAGTGACGGCCTGTGTGGTTGCCCCACCTTTATCCGGCCGTGATGACTAAGCCAGTTGTCCCACTTCGCCCAGGGCAGGTGCCAGCCAGCCCATGGTACCTTCCCATTACTCCTTATCAGCCTTTGCTGTTCCAACAGGAAGCGCTGGGCCTTAAACTTCGTCAAACGACAACCACAATTGCGGACGCGGTTTTTTCGGAGGTACGACTACAAGAGGGCCCAATGCGAGGATGCAGAGGCTATTCGCGGCTGGTTCGCTCTTGTGAAGAACACAATCGCGAAGTATGGTATCGATGAGTTTGATATCTACAACTTTGATGAGACTGGCTTTATGATGGGCCAGATTGCATCTGGCATGGTTGTCACAAGTACTGAAAGGCGTTCAAACACAAAAATGGCGCAGCCTGGTAATCGAGAATGGGTTACAGTGATTCAAGCCATCAACTCGCAAGGCTATAACGTCCCGCCGTACATCATCGTTGCAGGCCAATATCACCTCTCAACCTGGTATACAGAGTCAGGTTTCCCGGACGACTGGGTCATTGCGACGTCAGAAAACGGATGGACAACAAATGAAAGAGGCCTAGATTGGATCCAGCACTATGATCGTCATACGAAAACACGTTTGAGAGGCCAATATCGCCTCCTCGTCGTCGACGGGCACGAAAGTCACCACTCAACAGACTTCGAGCTATATTGCAAGGCAAACAAGATCGTTACACTTTGTATGCCGCCTCATTCGTCTCATCTACTCCAGCCCCTTGACGTTGGGTGCTTTGGTCCGCTAAAGACGGCGTATGGGCAACAAATTGAGGATAAGATGCGGCGGGGCATAACCCACATCTCAAAGGAGGACTTCTTTCCTGCATATCGCAGCGCATTTAGTCAAGCGATGACTGAAAAAAACATCCAAGGGGGTTTTAGAGGAGCTGGGCTTGTTCCTCTGAGTGCAGAAAGCGTCCTATCAAAGCTGGATATCCGGCTACACACTCCAACGCCTCCAGCATCACTACCACAGACACCTCCGCCTTGGGTTTCAAGGACACCAAACAACCCAGTAGAGGCAAGCTCTCAATCCAACTTTATTAAGAGTCGGATCACTCGTCACCAAAGCAGCTCCCCAACCTCTATTTGCGAGGCTGTTGAACGACTTTCTAAAGGTACAAGAGGCATCATGCACCAAGTAGCCTTACTTAGATCTGAGGTACAGATTCTTAGAGACGAGAATAACCAACTCAGTCGACGACGGAGAACTAAGAAAACACGCCTACAACATGGAGGAAGTCTTACTGTAGCTGACGCAGCAGATATACAGTCACAGAAAGATGTGACTGCGCAGGTTCAGGAGGACATGCGTCGTACTAGTGGTCGCAAACTGAGGGCCGAGACAGGTCAGCGACGGTGTGGCGTTTGTGGTCACCCGGGACACAATTCACGAACGTGCCAGTTTATTGAAGAGATGTCTGAAGATGAGGATTATGAGTAGTTTGAATTGAATTGATGCTGTTGATGTTGATATGGAAGCCAGTTTATCTCATCGGCGCAGTTTTGTGTCTCACTCACTTGTCTGTCTCACTCGCTTATCATTCACGTTATTCTTTCCAAGCTCATTTACCTATATACAGGACATTTCAGTCACTTTGATTGTACAAGGCAGGCTCAAGCTCTCAGCCATGCACATTGTGTCATTACACTTACGCACCCCCTTAATCCCTCGAAGAAGTATCAAGAAAGTTCATCAATATGTTCACCTGACTCTTGATTCCGTTGTCCGACTGGTTCTCCGTCTCTGGTGCGAAGATACTTGAAGATGATGGGAAGGGCTGCGGCGAGGATAGCGGCAGTGCCAAGAACAGCGTTGGAGGCTGCGAACCCTTTCAGATTGCGCGGGCCTTCTGACGCGGGCCATAAATAGCTCCCATAGATGTAACTGGTGTGGCCAAAGGAGTTGACAAACGCAATGGCGATGGATCGCTTCCGCTCGGGCTTAGCCATGACCTCGCTCGTCCAGTTCAGAATCAGTGGCACTGTCGTGAACGTGCCTCCAATGAGAAAACACATCATGACGTACTTAACAATGTTGTTCCGAACGACGATGGCGATGAGGCATGACAGTGCAGAAATGGAAAGCAGACCGGTAATGTGCCATCTGCGATCTTGGTACTTATCCGATGTCCATGACCAGAATAGCTGAAACACAGCGCCACACGCCCAGATGGGAACTGTCATCCATTGTGCAGTGATACTGGTATATCCAAGTCCCTTGAGCATCGTGGGTATGAAGTATGAAATCGTCAAGCCTAGAATATTGCAGGCGTAGAGAATCAGGAAGATCCAAGTTCTGCCGTCCTTGAGGACTGCTGCAAAGGCCTGGATTGGTGTCAGGCCATCATCCTCAGGTTGTACAGATGCACTTTGGTCGTGTAGAATGCGGACGTGACCAAGGAGTCGTTGTTCGTGAGTCAGCAATTTGGAGTTGCGGGGGTAGTCTGGGAGCACAAAGTAGAGTCCGAATCCGCAAGCAACGGTGACAACACCCTCAATCAGGAGAAGCCATCGCCAGCCTGATATTCCACGGGCTCCCTCTAGTCGCGAGATGACCGCTCCGGCCATTATCCCACCGAGTGCAGGTGCAACACAGCCTGACGTATAAAAAATACAGAATCGTTTGCCTGGAAACCGAAAAGGTTAGTTGCAAGTCAAATAGTGTTTTGTAGTTAGTGCTGAATCGTGGAACGCTTACCAACTTCTTTCTTAGTATACCAGCAGGTCAGAAGAAAGAGAGCACCGGGAAACAAGCCAGCCTCGATCGCGCCAAGAAAGAATCGACCGGCAAGAAACGAGGATGCGGTACTACTCTGGGACATCCCGATAATTACACTGCCCCATACGACGCAGATTGTGGGCAGGTAGATCGAAGGCTTGATTTTCATCAGTAGCATGTTCGAGGGTACTTCGAATAGGACGTAGGCGACGAAGAAAAGAGACACAAGGAGCGAGTATTCTGGAATTAGCAATGAAGATTAGCGTTAGATTCCGTGATTTCATATGCGAATCAACGACGGGCATGACTAACGGTTGTCGCTGAGCCCAAGGTCCTCGCTCAGTCCTGCGGCATTGGCATTGGCCTTAGCATCCAAGTCAGCTGAAACCCCATGATACAAGTTACCATGTACGATAAATAAGTACATACAATGTTGCCTCGGTCAAGATACGCGAGAATGTACATCCACCAGAGCAGCGGAAGCAAGACCATGTCGGCCTTCCTAACAAGCCGCTTTTCTTCTGCAGTTCCTGGCACATAACACTGGAGGGCTGCAAGAATTTCTGCATCTTCTAACGAAAGTTCGTTGGCAGCCGTATTGCCATTTTTCATGCTGTAGTTGGACGCAACATCTTGAGCCTTTAGGTCCAAGTCTCTAGATGCTGCTCGATTCATCGCAAAGCGAGGCTGACAAAAGTGCGATGAACTGTGATGATAATGAGCGGATATTGATGTCCTGAGAGGAGATGACGGGATAATAACTTCGAATTCCCGGTCGTCGTTGGCATGGAATAGGATGCTATTGGAGCTGACTCTTCTTCCAGAAGAAAGAAACAGGAGCCGTGATGCAGGTTTATAGAGGATGGTAGCCTGTCCCGAGATGGGGGGAGGGGGGGGGGGGGAGCGGAGGATAACGATAGCGGTAGATAAGCCGGGGCGCGGGGGATCCGCTCTGCCAAGGGTCTACCTGTCCCGACAGTCTCGAGATAAGCCCGCACTGTAAGTCGACGGCGAACAAGTCAATGTTGTCTTTTCATAGCCGGTCCAAGCCAGAGTACAGCGTGCCGGTCAGCAGGCCGCCATTGCGACCGTTGCTTGGCTATCTCAAACATGGCACTTTTTCTATAGAACAATGAAACACCAAGAGAGAAGCAATGTCATCAGGATTTGGCGGTCTGAAATTATGTCTCAGTAAGTCCCTGTCTAAGTACCTCCGATCGAGCTCCCAAGGCATTGATCATTGCTGAATTTTCTTGGTATGGCAGGAATTCATTGACTCAACTCATTGAGTCACTTCTGGATACATATCTTGCTCGGAGTGCTCTACCTTGTTATTTACTAGATGCCACAACCTGGCGCGCCACGTCGTGAAACGTATCTGCCGTGATGTCCATTTTGCCAAAGAGTCCCTCACATAGCTCTCTCTCCCAAATAGTGCAGTATGCTGCCTTGAAACTGTGAATGAGATGAGAATTAGCACAATCGTCCCATGCGCCCAATCTGTGCCTCTAACAATGTAACTGACCCTGCCAACTGGGCAGCAGTGACGTCCCAGTTGTGTGCAGCCGCAAACCATTTCTCATCATCGCCGGGACGGTCCAGCATTAGCTCATACACCCGGGGATCAGGCTTGCCAATCTTGAACCCATCGCAAGAGATGAAGTTTTCCTCGGGCATGTGAATGCTGTTGTGTTTGAAGTAGCCTCCCACGCGCTCCACGTCGCCAGCTGTCAGGGCCCAAATAGTGAACCCGTTGTCTCTCAGAATCTGAAAGCATTCAGGAATGCCTGGACGTGCTTCCAACTTCATATACTGCTGGAGAATGTACTCAAGATCCTCATCGTTGGAGAATTCGTGAGGCTCTTGCACGCCCGCCATATAAAGCATTCGATAATAGATGCTGCTGAAAACATCACGAAATGTGACGTAGCGTCCATTCATACTCAGGTAGGTATATTCCCGCTCAGTGACTTCGATCCAGAGGTATCCCAATAGCCGAGGCTTGATACCTTGAGCACGAAGCTTATCCCCCAGTCGTCGATCAAGGGCGTTGAACATGGCATCATATGACACACATGTACCGACAATGTCGAACACAACGTGTTTATTGGACGAAGACATCTGGCGGTATATCTCGGGGAGAATCTTGAGTGTTGATGGTGAACAAGACGGTCGTGTGGTGTCTCATATGAGCTTACACTTCTGATAAAGGCTGTGGCTGTATAAGTAGCAAGCTTGTTTAAAACTGATCGGTGACTACTTGTGTCAAAGGTTCGAGCAGAGAGACCTCGTTGAGGCACACGTCCTAGGCCCGCAAAGAAATCGGAGACTCACCAACGCCGGCACACACCCGGCACATGCTTGGGGTCAACCACGCAATATCAAGATCTTACCATCCCAATTTTCACTCAATAGAGCAACCTGTGCTGACTTCACTCGATACAGTGTGAGCTTCTAACAATATCTCTGTTGTTCGTCATGCGACGCCGTGCCTCAACTCTCAGCGGGGAACGATAACGCATGGAGCAAGTTAGTGCTAAGTGGCTCCTCTCTTATCCCCCAGACTTACGCCGGAACTCATATTCGCCGCATCTGCATGCAGAGCGGCAGCTTCTGTCGCTCGTATGCCCACCGCCCAATACAAATGGCATGAATGCACCAACGTTACCAACAACGACTTCACAAGATCGACATCATCCACCGAGGGAGAGTGATGCCTCGAAGACGGGTCGCAGTTGCCCACGGCGTGTAATTAAGCACTCAGAGTGTTGTTGTTCCACAAAGAGTCCACAAAAGGTCCACAAAATGAGCAGCTTATCGCCCATTATCATGTCTCCTTGTCGTTATCAAGCGATCGGCCTACCGGCACACCGGCACGCGCCGGTAACGCAAGCACTTCCCCGCCCCGTGGCTGACATTTTCCGCTTTAACTACCGGCACGAGACCGGCAACACTCGATGGGACAGCGGTCACTGTTCGACTCCTTGTTCGACTTCCTCCCCCACGACCTCTTGGGTGTGGACGCCGTGGGTTCAATGCACCAAACCGTTCATGAGTTGGCCGAGGCGATTGACTCACTTTCCGGTTCGCCATGTCAGGATCCGTCGGGTCGGATCAAACAGTTCAAGGCCGCCAATCTCCAATATCCCCCCTGTCCACGGGCAACGAAATACCCGTGACGTCTAGGACCAAGAGAAGGTCTACACCAGCGTCTGTATTGAATTACCGCGTTTCACGCTCAGATCAATCCAGCTTATACGCTTTGCAGATGTGACAACTGCCGGCGCCTGAAAGAAAAGTGCAACGGTGGAACCCCGTGTGACCGGTGTGTAAAATCCGGCCGCAAATGCCTATTCACCAATGCCTACAGGCGATCAAGACGCCGACCCGCACCACAGCCGCCAGCGGCCGTGATAGATCCAAAAGAGTTCTTTGGTATCGAAAGGATTCGCAACTTGGAAGCCATTGTCCAACACTTTACGAACATACGGGACTTCAGCCCTAAAGTACTCGCAGAGTCTCTGGTGGCTCTCAAAGCGGCCGAGGAGGGCTCGGCTCAATCACACGATCAATATAACTTGAACGACCAAGAGACCCTAGACGAAATCCGTATAGCCGAAGAGGCGAGCAATTTCGCCTCGATACCGGGTAAGTCGCGTCACTTGGACAAGGCTAGGTCATCTTTCACTAACCGCTTCATAGCATACCAAGACTTTTCTCATTCGGACTTCACCCGCCAGATCCAGCAAAAGTTAGGGTCCGACCTTGGAACAATTAAGAAAGTATGCTTTTGCCGATGTGTTCTTTTCCGCCATCTTTCAAGTCTATGGCTAATGCTTATAGCTCCAGGACCAAGCAGCCAATTTCGCTACTGCCGAGCAGCTGCTGTCATGGCCATTCGCCATTCAAGACGCAGTTTCTCTATTTCCACCTGTCGATGTCGCCACCATACTGCTCGATGTCTTCTTCAGCGTTTCCCAAACAAACTACTTCTACGTAGACGAGGAACAGATACGGAGACGAATATCTGAGATGTATACAGGTATCGCTGCACCGCTCTCGACTGCTGATGCTCCATGGGTGTGTACCGTACTCATGGTATTCTGCGTCAGCACCCAGTTCGCACACTTGGCGCCTCAGGTGAAGAGTCGGCATTCGAGGAACGGGCAACTCGATGTTGCTTCAGCGGTCGACGATGCTTTAGCGCTGTCTTTCTATCGAAAAGCAACGTCCATGATCCCCGATTTGTTGACAATTGGGAGTGCACAATGCGTGCAGGCATTCATTCTTATGGGCGTGTACACACTCCCAGTAGATCCTGCAGGTTTAGCTAGCAGCTATTATGGCATGGCTATGAAAATAGCGATACACAATAACATGCACTTGAAGAGTCTTTACAAAACACGAGACACGGAGATGAGCAACCGCATTTGGTGGACAGTGTACACTCTAGAAAGGTGGGCGAAGGTTCTCAAGATATCTCATAAATTTACACTGAGATCTAGAAGAATGACGGAGAGCACATCTCTCTTCACTTGAACAACGCATCTGACTGATCATAGGCGGGTATCTATACTACATGGACGGCCAGCATCAATTCAGAGGTCGCAGATAGGCACTGAGCTCCCAGTCGACTCCCTTGAACTACAACCATCCGGAAGGCCCAATACATTTCATAACGCCATGGCTCAGAAGGATCTTACCGAGATCATGGAGATTGCTCGTGACACCATGTTCGTTCTCAAATTCATACTCTTCATATAATAATGCAAAGCTAATCTTTCCAGCTTGGTTTTGAAAAGAGCCGATAGGCCGAAGCTCAAGCAAGTAGCTAATGATGCTCTCAAAGTACACCAGATGTTAGAGAAATGGTGGGACAATCTCCCATCCCAGACCTTCTGCAGGGACTTCACGCCAGCCCGACCACTCTTTCGATCAAACATACACCTTGCACTGACATATCACCTGGTGCATATTTTCATGGGCCGCTCCTTTATTTTTGACGACTTCAGTGCCGACGAGCTGTCTATCCCCGAATGGGTCACGACCCGCCAAACCCTTATAGAACACTGCATTAAAAGCGCCACATCGTCCATACAGCTCTGTCAAAAGCTCAACGATGAATTCGGGCTTTCCAAATCCTCATATACTGAATTCACTTCTTGCTGCGCTGCAGTAGTGACTTTGATAGCTCACCGTATCCTCAACAAGACGGCAGACCTTGAGGACGTATGCGATCAAGGGATTATACTACTGAAAATCATGTCTGGTGGCGTCTTTGCGAATACTAAAAGCTCCGAGAAACAGGGCCTGGAGATTTTAGAAATGGCGTTGGCGAAACTAGGCACAAGCCATGGTGGAAGTCCCGCGTTGGGTGGTGCGGGTTACGACCAATTTTGCACCTGGGTCGCACTGCAGATTGACCCGGATCACTCGCCCAGAGACGACGAGGCAACGCACGCGGCAGGATTGGCGCAAGGATGTAGACCAGCTCCGGAATTTTCCCATACAGAAGGAACGAACTTCATCCCGGAGTTCGTTCCCTCCACATTTGCCGAACTAATGTCGTTCCCTGGCTTGGAAAATTATTTTCAGTACTCAGTAAGGTAGACTTAGACTCAACTGAATGGCGTCCGTTTCACCCACAACGGCGTTGAGCTTCGGCATGCTGGGTCTCAGCATGGCTTACGGTCATGTTAGGTATGTCAATTCTCTCTTCCACCGGGTTTAATACGTGGTGTAACTAGTCGCAGATCCGCAGAGGAGCGCCTGAAGGTTCCGAACCGGGCTTGGGGAATTGGCGCAAGGAATTGGGATACGGCTGGTGCGTACGGCGACAATGAAGACCTAATTAGAGGAACTTCAAGCTGGAAGGCGATGCGACATTTTTCTTGCGTTTGAATTACACGACTTGCGATTGAACAGTTACCTACATGTAAGTACTTGTATCTGTAGTTGAGGCATCCAAGCCGAGCCATCATCCGGGCACAAGCAGATGTTCCTCTATTACGAGGCGATGGCTTCCGAACTGTCCGTACGGAGTACTGCAACTTGGATGCTCGCCTTATTATGCGGGGTAAGGGGGAGTAACTCCGCATTCCAGGGGTCACATCCGGCTTTGCGTGCCTTGGGCCCCACCAAGTGGATCAATAAACAGAACCCCTGGCTTCTATCAAGGTCATTTTCTTAGTCGTACGCGAGATCTCGGCTGATCGACACATCCAGCAGACTTGTCTCATAGCGGTGTAGCGGCAGCACGTCGGGTGATTGCCACAGTACGTAGGCGTTAGGTAGAAGTATCGCGGAATTCCACAAAGAAACGCTCCACGCTTTACCATCACACATGTCTCGCAGCGAACATGTGGTTCTCTTCAGGATTGTCGACTTTGCTTTGCGTCTTCGCGCCTGCACTAGGAGTGACAGCATCTGCACAGTCGCCGCCAGTTTTTCCATCGCGTGAGTTTACTACTGCACCTAACGCCCAGATTAACAACATTCTCTTGCTAACATAGCTCTGGCATAGCGTCAGGTCAAGGAAATGGGATCTGGAAGAATGCATATGAGCGTGCAACCAACTTGGTCAGCCAGCTAACCCTTGAAGAGAAGATTAACATCACACGTGGCTATGCTGGTGACAACGTCTGCGCGGGTAACACCGGATCCATCCCACGTCTTGGTTGGCCAGGCATGTGTTTACATGACGCTGGGAATGGCGTTCGAGCGACAGACCTAGTCAATTCATATCCGTCGGCCATACATGTAGGTGCCAGCTGGGATAGGAACTTGACTTATCAACGTGGCTATTACATGGGAAAAGAATTCAAGACCAAAGGCAGTACGTCTCCAAAATTCAAACGCACTTGTTGTTTCATCACTAACTCGTGTTCAAGTCAACGTCTTGCTGGGACCCAACGCTGGTCCTCTGGGTCGAACTCCACTGGGCGGACGGAACTGGGAGGGCTTCTCCGTTGACCCATTCTTGTCCGGACAGCTGAATGCCGAAACCATCATCGGGCATCAGGAAGCCGGTGTGATCGCCAATCTCAAGGTAGGTCCTCAAGAAGGCATGCTCCCTGGACTATGCCTACGATCCGTGATGGGCTGATGTGTGATGGCAGCATTTTATCGGAAACGAGCAAGAGACTTTCAGAAGGCCATACTTCGGTGTAGAAGCAGCTTCATCCAACATTGACGATAGAACTCTGCACGAATTCTATCTTTGGCCATTTGTCGATGGGGTTAAAGCGGGAGCGGCGTCGATCATGTGCTCATACAACAGAATCAACAACACATATGGATGCGAGAATAGTAAGCTATTGAACGGGATTCTAAAGACAGAATTGCAATTTGAGGGGTTTGTCCTTCTCGACTGGAACGCACAGCACAAATTGGAGAGCGCCAATGCTGGTCTAGACATGGTCATGCCCCTTGGGGGGAATTGGGGCTTAAATCTCACAACTGCAGTCAATAATGGAACAGTGGATGCTTCAAGGATAGACGACATGTCCACAAGGTACTGGCCCCTACTCACATCCTGGAAATTGTTTGTATCTGACGTTCAAAAAGGATCCTAGCAGCTTGGTATCTTGTCGGGCAAGACACCGACTTCCCAATCCCTGGCATTGGCATGAAGAATCTGACTGAGCCGCACGATCAGATCGACGCTCGTGATCCTAAAGCGAGACCAACAATACTCAGCGGAGCCGTTGCCGGCCATGTGTTGGTGAAGAACGACAATAATTCACTGCCTTTCCGCAGAGCCCCGAAAATGATGTCCATATTTGGATATGATGCAACAGTGCCTTCGACGAAGAACACCGACAAACTCTTTGAGCTTGGCTACTACTCCTCTCCCGAGATGGCTCAGGCCGTACTGGGAACAGAGAGGCATTTTGACCAAGCAGCTAAGGGAGGGACCATTGTAAGTGGGGGACGTGCTGCAGCCAATGCACCGTCTTATATACTCGATGTAATCGCCATACTCTCACAGCTGAATGATTCTGGGCTGACTGTGCTCTAGCCGTTGAGTTCACTGCAACACAGAGCCGCAAAAGATGGCACTTGGGTCAACTGGGATCTGACTTCTGGGGATCCCGATGTCAATGCTGCTAGCGATGTTTGCCTGGTTTTCATCAACGCCATGGCAACCGAAGGATGGGATCGAGATGGCTTACACGACGATTTCAGTGATGGCCTCGTCTTGAGTGTGGCCGATAAGTGCGCCAACACAATTGTGGTCGTTCATGCAGCTGGCATTCGCCTAGTTGATCAGTGGATTGATCACCCAAATATCACGGCTACAGTCATCGCCCATCTGCCCGGTCAAGACAGTGGGTCGGCCCTTGTTAAGCTTCTGTACGGTGAGGCTTCATTCTCTGGTAAGCTTCCGTATACTTTGGCTCGGAACGAAAGCGATTATTCCGTGTATGCACCTTGTGGGAGGCAATCCAATACCACCAGTCCCCAATGCGATTTCAAGGAAGGGGTATATGTCGACTACCGTGCCTTCGACGAAAGAGGCATCGAGCCAAGGTTTGAGTTTGGGTTTGGGTTGACGTATACCCAATTTACCTACTCTTCCCTACGGGTCAAGGCGACGGATATCTTGATAGGTGCTGCGCCAAGCACTGAGGTCTTATGGGAGGTGATATTGAATGTCGAGGCATCATTGAACAATACTGGAAATCGCGCTGGCGAGGAAGTTGTGCAGCTATACGTTGCAATTCCAAATAGCCCCCCGAAACAGCTTCGGGGCTTCGACAAGGTGCCACTTGATATCGGAGAGAGTGCCACTGTCCAATTCGAACTGACAAGAAGGGACCTTAGCGTTTGGGATGTTATGGCTCAGACTTGGACACTTCAAGACGGCAATTATACAGTATTTGTAGGCGCAAGCAGTCGGAATCTCCCTCTTCAAATCTTACTTACTTTATGATTGAGTAGAATAGTAGATTTAGCGATAGCTTAGTCGATAATTGGAAGTCCTCGTCAAATATCTTATGTGCTAATAGTGACCAAACAGCCACCACTGAATATTCTATGCCATATGAGGGGAATTTCAACTACCTGGCCGATTGTCAGAGCCCTCCCGGATAGGGGCTAGTTAGAGGTAGTAAGGAGTCCAAGCAACAAAGGAGCAGCTCAGATATATATACAGCGCAGGGAGTACACGTCGAGGGAGGAGCAGATTTCAGTAATTCATCATTCTACCCCTAACTGCAGTTGGCCTCTGAGAGCTTCCACCCTGTGTCAACAATCCCAACTTGACACCGATGACCGGCATGAGCTCGCGGAGCTTACTTGGGGCACTTCCACCACTGGATTCACTAGTATTTTGTGCTAGACATAGTAGAGCACCCAGCCATCACAAGGACCTACATATAGACAGGAACAGTAACAGGACAACCTAAGATATGCGGGTACATAGTATGGATCATTATTTATCTTGCGTATCATGGAGGTCAGGTAATATGTAGCCAATGGATTCTGGTAGTAATTTCCTACACATTGATTCCCATTGACTTTGCTGATAAGTTCAACACTGCAATCTTTCCCGCACGGCCAATATGCAACCACATTATGCCAATGGACTTATGGCTATTGGTACTATTGATCTTCATGGATAATAGATATCCTCTTGACTATCTACCATATCTCCAGTCTCCTTCCAGAGACCTTCCATTAGTTCTCACTCGCCTCAGTGCCTCCTTTGACTCAACACTACTTTGGTCTGGATCAGTCTCAGGTGGTGAAGAAGACAAGGCTCAGGGAGAGGAGAACCTAGAGCGTAGTTTCTTACGTGCCTGTGATATTATCGTTGCCTGAAATTACAGTTACCTGATAGATTAGGCGCTTTCCAACATAAAAGGGCTGGTGGTGTGAATGTTACGCACCGAACATGCTTCAGCCCGATCTGAAACTCAATGGGAGAGAAACCAGCCTAGCGAGAGACGCACACCCAATGCACGCTATGTATACAATCTTACTGGCTTGCGTGATGCCCCTAAAAGTGAAGCGAGTTGAGACAAGGCGAGCATAAATGACGCAAAGTGAGGGGAAGACAAAGCCTCACTTAGCTGAACTTCTCTAGCCAAGAGCAAAACGTGGGATTGCTGAACAGCAGATGGCTTATGAACATTTCAAGTGTCAAGGCATCAGTAGATGCATTTATGTCTTTGAACTCCTACGTCATTGGGCCAGGGTTTCACTGAAGTATGTAGCTGTTTCTTCCCAATACGACCTCCCACAGAGTACTAGGTACGATTCCTGGTCCAATTAACAAATATCCTCCTAGCTTCTCTTAACAGTAAACATTTCAAAGCCCTGCCATCACGTTGGGTCTGACATCGTAAGAAGCCAAGCCCTATTCATAAGAATGTCACTCCGAGTTGGGCTCCCATCACTTGCAGAAACGTCCATGCAAATCCTGGGGATGCACGAAATTTTGCAATTGACCCCCGTATCATCCCATATCTCCCCTTAGTTAAGAAGGCCCAGACCTCGAAAATTCATGATCAGTCCGAAATTTGTGTATGACAGCATCTAAGCGGCACATTACCTGCAGCATCTGAAGCCGGCCTGACGAAAGCACGGCGTATGATAGGTGCCAGCTCAATGAGAGGGTGTAGAGCGAGCGTGCGTCTCTTGCCAACGGGACACGCAGGCGTGGTGAGAATAACGCGGGGTATCCCCCTTAATGCGCCATTGGGAACGAATGCATGCTCGCTGCATGCGGGCTGTATTCGCCAGCAATAAGTACACTACATGCAAATCACGTAAGATTGTTAAGCTCAAGATATTGCAAGGTAGCTGATTGACGAATGGCTTTCCAGGGCAACCAATCGCCGTAGAGTCCGGTGTGAAAATGTCGTGACAGCCTGCTGCGCTTCAACGTGGCATCCACAACAGCAGGACTAGTGGGTGTGCTCTCGCTCAGTTTTAGCCAGCAAAACCTAAGCCCAACGACTACTTGGGGTTGCGCCAAAGGCTAAAGGAGGGGACGGGACAACTTACATTCGCTGTTCTTCGTTGTTCAACCATGGCTGAAGAGCGAGGTCATTAAAAGCCGGTCATGGAATCATTTTGTTTGACTCCATTTTCCTATGAGATATACATTCATCAACCATGGACGCGAACGGATGGTCACCGGCCTCGCCGCTCGATAATGCTGGCAATCACGTTCTTGAGGCTTCTGTAGGAAATTCGCAGGATGTAGGCCCCGAGGTGTCGTAGGTTTACTCTGAATACCCTACCTTGAGATCTGGCGTCTTTGGCTAACAATGCTTCAAAGGCCATACGCAAGTCCAGCATGCAACGTCTACTTCGAGAGTGGTCAGCCTTTTAGGGTACCTAGCAACCTTCTTTGTCAAGAACTAGAGAACATTCGCCACCGAAGCCATGGTGAAATACGACTTAAGCATATACCAGACGAAGCAGGTCATGTGCTCATTCACTTCCTCCATACGGGTTCATGGCAAACTTTGCGGGCAAAGGATTCCCTCGACGCACCGAAAAATGCCACCTACCTTGGAACTAGTCTCCATGTTTATGCCGCTTCGCAGGCATACAAGATTCCTCTTCTGGTCGAGCTTGCCAAAGAGAATGTTTCTCATTCCGCAGAAGCACTGCCTGCCCTTGAGGTTATTGCGCTAGCTTCAGATGCCTGTCACTCTTTGGGAGATGATGACCCATGGTTCTCTGCGTTCATCAAGCGACGCATCCGCCACCTGTTCGAAGACTCATCTTCTTTGAACAAATCTGGCCTGTTGGGGTGTTTCAACAATGCGACAGCATTCTCGAGGCTGTTGGTCAAGAGCTTGATCGAAATTTGTTGCGACTATTCAATTTCCGTGAATCCAAGCGAATCTCAACCTTCGCCTCGGCTTGTGCCATCAGTTGCATCAAAGCCAATTCCTATTCCGTGGTCAGACTTAACTGAGCCGGAAGTGGACCTGAGTGGAGAACTCACACTGGAATCGGCGCTAGGAAATATCCTGACACCAACTTCAAAGAAAGACAAGAAAAAGAAGAAGAAGGCTAAGAAGTTGGATGAGATCCAGGCTGATTCAGACGGGGTGAATCTCAGAGATATTCCGGAGCCCGTAACAAATGGCCAACATTGATTACTCTACAATTAGTTAGGATGTAACGATCAAATTGAGCTATCCTGTTTTCAGAATTTAGTCTTCCGTGCTGCGTGCATAGCTTGAACGGGAATTTCCAAAGCCCATTGATATGAATAGCAATTTGGTCTAGAAAAAAGTGTTTGTTGACCGTGAGAATAGACTTCGTACATGAAAAGTAAGCAACCTTCACTTGCACTCCCAAGACGGCCAGTCCGTGGCAGTTCGGGTTATCAAAGAGGCGCAATGCTCTCAAGTATGCTACGTGCTTTGAATGTTTTGCCGCTCTGCTAAGTAAAGTACCTACACTACTCAATCGAATGCCAATCTATGTACATGGGTAGACTAAACAGTTTGAATTCCGATTTTGCTAAAATAATGACGGCTTTGCTACGCGTCATGATACCGCTACTGACGTGAAGCTTGCTCGAGTTCAAGAATCCGGTGGCACCTTGCGTATACACCGCAGCCGAAGAAAGGAAATACAAAAGGATCCATGACCTAGTCTTGGTCTTCCGGGTGGAAAACAAGAGCTCGAACCTCTATGCTTTCTCTTGGTGGTGCATCTGGGCTTGCCGTTGGATCAACGAAAGCTGTGTGTGGCACTCTCCTAGCTCTTCCATCCGTCTTGCTGTCGAAGCACTTGATGAGAATCACTTCGTCCGGTGTCAGACCATCCTTGTAGTACCACTTGTGGGTGCTGTTGTGCCTCACTGCATATGTCTCTCCTCGGCGATTAGGATAAATCAATTCAGTCACGACCAGGTCCGACTCGGAAACAGACCCGGCTTCCGCAACGGCGAGTGGGTCTCTTTGTACCGTTTTTATGGGCCTCCAGACGTTGATGATCTGCACTCGACCCTTGAGCAACTGGTCGGCATCCTCCGGGAGGTGATGGGGAACTCGGGAAAGAGCAGCCTTGTAAGATTGATCAATGTGAACTCGTTGCACTGGTCCGCGAGCCGCTTGTCCTTGCGTTGCTAACCCGGGCGGCTGGCGGCGAATAGTATGGTCGAAGATAAAAACACGGCTGGCACCCGTCCTGAACACATTCATTAGTTACCATCACGGCAAGGGAGGTTTGGTCGACCGTCGGACCAATTAATTCCACGAATTCCACTTACACATTCTTCAAAAGCTCCTCAACTTCCGCATAGTAAGACGACTTAATCTGATCGTCATCTTGAAATTGCTTCTCGGTCGACTGGCTGCGATAAATTTGAAACCCATTTCTGTCCAACGAAAACCGCTCTTCGTTACCTGTGAGATCGCTTATGGTAACAGAATGAGCTTGGAATGGTCGATCGTACGTCTCCGGCCTGTCGACGTATATAGGATGGGTAGGTGATCCATCCTCGTTGTCTTTGTGGTAATTTAGAATTGCTTGCACTCCTTTGTGTCTCTTATCCGACTCATCCAGACCTTTTGCGCTGTGGCGTTGGGTATGCTGAGGAAAATCCAGTGCTGCGGAAATCAGGACGTTTTGAACCTCTGCTGCTGCCATGCTCACTCTTTGGTCAAATGTGTATTTATGAGGGTGTGGAGAGAATATGTCAATACCGGCAAGTTAGCTGCATGTGGTCTCTAATTCTCTGCAGATTTCCAGCTATAAATATTTTCCAGTGAGCCACGCTTAAGCTTTATTCCACCCCAAACCCGCACACTCACCCCAAGCACGCAATCTTCGTCCGGCCGTGGGCGATGGTGGATTGATAATCATAACCCCAGCCGAATCATCTCGTGTGACCACATTACAATGCCAATTGGATCAAGGTTTGGCTTAGGGGGTGAGACAACACCCATGCGGTTGTGATTTCAAATCCTCATCTTCATCGCATCCATGTAAGCTCGGTCGACCTCGTGTATTTTACATGCCTCGGCTCGACTTATAGTTGCGGAGTAAAATGGTGTCATCGACATAACCATCTGCATTGATAAGCACAGATCCTTGCCAGCGCACCTTCATTATCCGCCACAGACGTGGCTTTTGCCATGGCCGCGGAGTCTCCAGTGTGAGTGGCTTTTTAATACGTTCAGATAACCGCAGCGCAAGATCATTCAACAATAAAATATACGCCAATTATCAGTGCGAGAGGAAGAGGCGATTCTAAGTAGACGCCTGGGCCTTTAGCACAGTACGGCAAGATTGAAACAAGAAGGGACCAAAGGCTTCCACGGTACGGAGAAGTAGCCTCTGTCCTACTTTTAAATCTCTGTATGAACAAGTTTTGTAATAGTTGTCCCATCACTAAGAGTCTCTTCTTTTTCCTCAATCTGATAACCTCCCCACCGGGGCAAGAGGACAGTCCAAATGTACCAATATATCACTCCAGCTGTAATGCTATTAGATAGCAGTGTTAGCTTTAAAAGCTCTACTGTCGGGTTGGATGGTTCAACTCACATGCTCACGCCGATTATTGCATACGTGGCGTAAAATAACCCGTTTGGCGGCTTTGTATCCGGCGGGAAAAAAGGTGCTGCAAGTAGAGCCATGCTTAGGCCGATTCGCAAGACTACTGCCGGGACCCATGCTTTAAATGGACGCTTGATATCGGGTCGTTTAAAGCGTAGCCATAGAAGTCCGACTCCAATGGCCAATGCTAAGATTTGCCCGGGGTAGCCTTCAACCTCCAGGATGAATGAGTAGACGTCCCTGGAAGGTGGCAGCGTGATAACCAGAAATGATGGAATGTAGTGGACAACCAATCCACCTAGAGGTGAGTTGAATGGCTGTGTCGATGATAAAATGTCGGAAAACGGGAGAAAGCCTTGTCTGGCAATTTCTTGTTTTGTACGCGCCTGAAGTCATCGTAGAAGTAAGTATCCACACGAAACAAACAACGCGGAGAGTTCCTACCGCTGAGAAGGCGACGACGAGAACATTTGCCCCTGCACTCAGAGCAACTGCCAGGGGAAGGATTGTTTTGCCAACGCCCGCACCAAATATTCGTTCAAAGAAGAGAGCCGCTATCAGCTCGCCACTCTGCTTTATCTCGTCGATGGGAACGACGAGAAAGTATGCCACATTGATAAGGGCATAAAGTCCACATGCCGTAGTCAACGCCGCCATTGTCACAGATCGCAATGTTCGAACTGGGTCTTTGACCTCATTCAGCACGTAATTGGCGTTGTCGAGCCCTGAGTATGAATAGAAAACCTTGAATAGGGATGTAGCAATTACACCCCAATTCCAGTTGGTGTCTTCCCACAAGTCTCCCCATCCGAAGACTCCAGTTGTTTTTTGAGCGGATTCTGGTGTTGGTCTGAATAAAACGACATAGAGACCTGAGAATATCATGAAGATAATGAGGGCGACTTTGATCCAACCTAAAAAGTTTTGCAGCTTGATGCCGAAACGTGGGAAACAACCGTGAATCATGGTGACGAGTGTGAGCAGTGCAACCGCAATTCCTTTTCGAAGGAGATCGCTGGGATTCTCGCCGCCCAGTGCAAACAAAAGATATTCGCTGAAAACGATGCAGTTACTCGCTGTAAACCCCAGAAGAACGGCCTGAATGGCGATGAGGGTCGATGCTAGGAAACGGGGTCGACGATATGTGAATTCCAGGTATACTTTGTCTCCCCCGGACCGTGGTAGCATCGAACCAAACTCTAGGGAAATCATCAAGCCACATGCAGCAATTATTGCGCCGACAATCCAAAGTGAGAGTGACAGGCCGGGGCTACCAACTGAGCGAAGGATTGCGCCTGGAGTAGCAAAGATCCCGCTGCCAATCACTCTTGAGATAACGAGAATGTAGGCGCTCTGCCATGTCAACGTGCGACCGAGTGTCGATGTCTCTGGGAGAACATCGTCCTCAACTGAGCGTGATGGATGCGCATCCCTAGTCCCAAAGTTTTCTTCATCCGGCTCATGTGTCCCGGGTATAAGCTGCTTGGTATTTGAACTTTCTGCGGATGACAAGTATTGTGGCGTAGGTGGAATCAGCGGCTGCAGCTCTGGGTCTTCGAGGTCGCTCATTTTGATCAAGGCTGTTGCTGACTGGTGTCAATGTAAGACCGTAGGTGGAAGCACTTAACGAGGCAATGATCGATGAACAAGATGGACATATATCCTGGATGACAGCCTTCGCGCTACTTAAGGTAGAAACAGAATGAGTATCAAGATCACGTTGTTTAACAAGAACGTCAAGCGACAGCGAAAGGTAGTCCTGCCATAGTTCGGCTATCCGGCCGGGCGGGACAGATACGCGTTGACTTGACAGGGAGGCTAGGAGGTGTCATCGGCTGAGGGCGCGTGTCCACGGACACTGATGCTTGATAAGAATGCGGGTATCCCAATGGCTCATTCTGTCTTGTGAAGCGTGCCTCTAATGGCGTAACCGTGTTTCAAAATGTGAGTTTCGGTTGTAGACTACACGATATGCCCGTCCTGTTCTTAATACGGATTCGCACGCCATCATTGCGCAACCTGACGAAAATGGGGGGGTGATTCTTCAGCGTGGCACGTGAAAGATCCCAACCACCATTACGGATCCCCAACTGAAATTCGAACCCCAATCTGGGGCTCCGGATCCCGGCTGTGACTCCGCGGCAGCAACCTCTACACGCAAGGCGAGGCAGGCTCGGACTCCAGAGGACAGAGCTCTTGCGTCTTGCTTTTGAAGTTCTTATCAAAGTTTCCGCATGCTTACTCCGCAAGTTAACAGATTAGAAAACACCAAGCACAAACCTCCATGTCGTCCCGAGGATTTTACATCGAACTCAAATAGACCTATTGTCGCAGCGCCACGTGTGGCGCTGCCCATTACTACCGTACGATACCGCTTTCCATAAGCCGATTGCCCGTCTCGTACGGTATATAGATACCACCCCTATACGGGTCTCTTATTTAGAGGAATCAAGCCGCATTCTACTGTATATTTTTTCCACTAGCTACCTCGTTTTTTGATCCCTCAAAGGTATTGTCCCGCTGCTTCGCCGCACGCGCCACACCCGTCGTAGGGTGACATGCTCGCTTTGTGGCGAATTACCGATTGCGGGCGCAAGCATAGGCCAGCCATCGCAGCACAGGGTCTTATCATCAAATGTCATAATCATCACGGCTTATGGGACATAGAAGAAGACTACTGCCCTCGCGAAGATCATAGGTTAGTGCGAGGAGATAGCGCCTCTTCGGCATGCCTAAAAGATAATCGATTCACAAGCCATGTGCCTACTGGTTCGACATATTTGTTGCCAGTTTGACTTGCTTGTGCTCTGTCAGACATCTATAACTTAACGCGTCTTTCAAAACGTTGCGAACTTCCCGAGAGACACTTGACCATTTTTAGTCGGTCAATAACTCGAAAGGACAAATCCCATAAGCAATCTGCTGTCGCAGCTCATCTTGAGCTCTATAGACATAGAATGAGCGTTCGTAGAGCTATAGTATTACCGCACCCGATAGATTAGACTTCTAGGGAGCGGCTCAAATCAATGGCAAGCGAAGTCTGAAACCTGGATTTTTGCGGTATTTCGAGCTTGTACTCCTTACAGACCCCGAGGGTCAAGATCCGTCATCTACTTGAATAGGGTTTTTTCTTCGTGGAAGAACTACCTTAAGGATCATTATAACAAAGACGTCAATGAATATGAAAGTCAATCCAGGTTTCAGTCAACATCCAGTACTCTGTATTATGTGATGTACATTCTACATTAGTGGCTAGCTCTCAGGCGTCGAGACGCTTTCACGTTTAGTCAACCAGCACTAGAGCAAGACTTGAGAGTCTCGTCATCGAGGCTTAATACGTGTGCATACCGCGACCTTCCGCCTCTCGATTTGTAGATACGTCAAGTCAAGGCATATACATATCTATATGAAAAGAAAAGGGGGGGGGGGCGCTATTTCCAGCAACGGATGGGATAGTTTGTGGTCCAGGCTGATGGCAATGATTTTGACCTTGAGCGAGGTCCAGGCTCGAGAGGATTTGAGCTTCAATCAACGCCCGCTCCTAATCCAGCCCGGTTTTGTTAGCAAGAAGCGCTTTCTGATCCTTGGCTCCCAGCCGCGCGTGACTAACGCTCCATCTACTGATGAGGCGCTACTTTATTCTCGAGATAGTGGAGATGCAGGGCCTTGGTGCCGCCACTATATCGCTCAGGTGCGGCCGGATCACCCGCGAAGAGGCCCAGAGTGATCTATTTATGGGGCACCCCTTTTCGGTTGTATCTGGCTGCAGGGCGGGTTTAGGACCCATACTAGCAGGGGCGTACGCTCATTTGCTGTTTGCTGAAATGATTCAGGCAGCAGCCGAGTGACACGTCAGCTGATCTTCAAAAAGGACGCATTGCTGACGCCCGCAGATGAGCTCCTCCTCATCGAATATCATAGCTAAGGCGCTTTTATGGCACGAGACGAGGAAAAAATGAACCCGAATAGTGATTCTGGAGCAGGTATGACTTCTAGCATTCTTATCAACAACCTCAAGTTAAGCCTAACGCAAAGTAGCCATCCCGTCTTTCGATGCTCCTGGCAGTCTTCCCTATGATGTCTGCTTTGGAATGGTGAGCGCAATTTCTCAGCGTCGGCTTTAACCAGAGAAACGCACTAACCAATCTGGATAGCTTCTTCTCGAGGGGAGTCGCATGAGTGCAGATATAAGCCCAGCAAACAATGCAAGGCCATTGCGAATATCCTTTTTCGATAAATTTGTGATGCTTCACAACGAAAGCAACAGCGCGTTAGCTGCTGTGGTGCACTCAGAAGCCCTGTCTTGCCTTGCACGAGAATGCTTCGTGACTTTAGTCGCAACGATGGAGGGGCCAAAGAGTCAGAATTGCAAGCTCAGCGTGACAAATACGAGGTCATGGAATCAGATTCCGGTTTGCCTCATACGGTTTGTTGTCCATGGTCTCTTGTCAGAGAAGGAGCATGTCACGAGGATACTGGACGCTGGGGAGCTTTACCTGCAACGACCAGACAGCTCAGAATATGACGTTAGGGTAAGGTATTTCAATCCCATGTACCTTGTACCTACGGGCAAGGACATACCGGAACGAACAGAATTCCGCGGGAGTTTGATTGGGAACCAGACAACCACATCTTTTGATGAGTTCCCGCTCGGGGAGGTCATAAAAGACCAAGTTCAGAAAGTCTTTGATGAACCAACTGTCTCCAGCTTAGTTTTGCCGCTGAATGTGAAGCAAAGCTCGAGGATAATAACAAAATTGAAGTGGTACGTTCGGCAAGACATGAAAGTTGAGCAAGCGAGCTAATCATAAATATTCTAGTCACCAGGTTGAGGCCCTCAACGTAATGGTACGAAGAGAGCATGGAGATCCAAACATTGATACAACATATCCGTCTTTATGGGAGAAGTGTGTCCAGGAAAAAGAAACGACGTAAGTCTTGATGGTGAGATGAATAGATGGGCCTTTTTATTCCCGATGTGCTGTTGCAGCTTTAGTGGCTATTCTGAATACCTTTCATCAGATACCGGCATGCTATAACGGGTTTTACTCAAGCCGCACCTCTCCCCAGCGTTAGTGGAGGCATCCTAGCTGATGTATGCAAACCGTTTCGCCTAATATTCAACAGAAAACGACTGACTTAGCCAGGAAATGGGACTCGGGAAGACACTCTCTACTCTTGCACTCATCTGCCATCACCTCGATAAGATACCGAATATCTCGTCGTGCCAGACCGATGCAATTACCAGGGTTTCTCTGGTAGTGGCACCAAAGTCGAGTATGTTATTTCCACGGTAGTATGGTGCTCCGGAACTAAGATGGTGTTGACTGACGGAAGTAAGCAATCTTTGGATGGCAGCATCAGATCGAAACGTAGGCATCCCACCAGTTTAAAATGGCCCTGACGCAAGCTGAACGTAGCAGACATATCAAACCCGGCAAGATACGGAGTCTCGTGTTTCTTGGCCCCACACGACACCAATTTATCGACTCACTGCCCAAGTTGGACGTAGTTCTTACTACATATGATACTCTTCGCTCAGACTGGATGTCTAACGGCCCGCTATACAACTTTACCTGGGCTAGAGTTATTCTGGACGAAGGCAAGAAGATTTCCCTATATCTCTTTTTCTTACTAATGAACGAACTATCAGCTCACAAGATTCGCAATTGCTCAACAAAAACTTTCCTCGCAGCATCCGCACTCCGCGCCCGGTCCCGTTGGTGTTTAACTGGAACCCCGATCCAAAACTCGCTTGATGATTTCGGGTCTTTACTGGCGTTCATACGAGTTCCCCCTTTCACATCGCGCGACCAGTTTCGTTTTTGGATTTCTTCGCCCATTATGCTCAACCAACAACGAGACATGAAACAGTTGCGAAAACTCGTGGCTGCCACTTGTTTGCGCCGCACCAAGCTGCGCTTGAATACGGCACTCAACTTGCCAAAGAAGACAGAGCACATTGAGGTCGTGGACATGACATCCGAGGAGAGATGCATCTACGACTTTTTTATGAAGAGGTCCTATCTACTGGCTCATGATGAATCCAAAACGGTCCAGGAGATCTCTGCATGCGATGATGAGCATCCCAAAAAGAGGCAAAAAAAGACTGCGTACAGTGTCAACCAACAGCTTACGACCCGCAGCAGAAGTGGTCAAAATCCTGTTGTTCTGATTTCGATCTTGCGGTTGATTTGCGATCATGGAGAGGCACTACTTCCAACCGTCGCTCTAGAGGCATGGCAAAACCGAGAGCCGGGAAAAATCACGTGGGACTTTCTTCAAACAACGGCCGAAAAAGATTCGGACGATGTCTTCAATGTTGAAGAAGCTGAAAACGCAACAGAGCTGCAGGACGCACATACGCTGGAGAATGCAAGAAAAAGTGGCGCCGATGGAGGTAGTATTACTCAAGAACGATCTGTATTGCCGATTCATCCTGCCATCTGGACGGGAGAAGAACACTCGCATACAAAGATAAGGAGGAAAAACGTCGGCCAAAAGTTTTCTCCATCATCCAAGGTCTCAGCCGTGCTTCGGAACATACTGCACACGCTTCCAAAAGGGGACTCTTGCGATAACCATAGTCCCCCAGTCAAGAGGTCAGTCCTTTCGAACACTTTAACTCCATCATGTCTTTCTATTTCTTTAGTTGAACAGCCGCTCACTATTGCTCGTCCAAAGTGTGATATTTTCGAGCTGGATCGGCATGCTTGATCTAATTGGTAGCGCTCTGATTCCGCACCTTTACTCCTACAATTTGACCTACGCCCGCCTGGACGGCAGCTGTGACTTGCAACAGCGCCGCAACGCCATCATCAAATTTAGAAATGATGACAGATGTGTTGTCTTGTTGGCTACTGTCGGTGCTGCAGGTGAAGGGTAAGTGTCGACTTCAAGACCCGCGTTCACTAATAGCATCATATTTGCACTCGAAATTGGACCCAAAGGAACGAATCAGATGCTAATGGAAGTCTGGCCTGTAGGATTAATCTGACTGTCGCCTCTGAGGTACACATCGTCGAGCCGCTTTGGAATCCCATGGCAGAAGTGCAGGCAATCGACCGCGTGCATCGCATGGGTCAGACTCGGGAGGTAAAGGTTATGAAATACTGTGTAAAACACAGTATTGAAGAGGCAAGTTTTTGATAGCTGTATTCCTCAGAACCCGGGTGTTCAGATACGAGGCTTCCCTTTTCGCTCCTGGTCTCCTCTTGCTGCTCAATACTGACATTCCAGATACATAGTACATTCGATGGATTCAAGTCCAGAAGACAAAGACTATACATCAAGTTCTTCCTGCTCAAGAAAATGAATCACCTGACCAAACGGATTGCTGGGAGGCAAGTATTGAACCACGATGGAATGTAAGTTTGCTGTTAAAGTAACTCTAGGAATGACGTTAAGTGGATGCTAATCATTACGCAGAAAATGTTAGAATTTCTTAGATAGTCTGAGGGTACGGAGATGACGCACCTTTTATCCTTGCAATTTGCTTTATGTCCTGTAAACATTAGATGTGCTCAAACTAGCTACTAATCTTTTTAGTCGGCTTCGACTGGCGTTTTCCTCGGTCTTTTGAGCTGCAAGACTACACCATCCGCATCTTCACTTTCCCTCGCATACTCTTGCCGCCTTTTACCTGGGCAACTACCATTTTCCACCTTGGATGATTCCTCCACACTTTCTCGATTTTCTTGGCCTCTCTGTTTCAGGCCAGTCTCGTCATTATTCCCGACTTTTACATCCGATGTCCTCATCACGAGCTCTTCCCACGTTTCGCCCAACCATTTCTTGATCAGCCTCGACCCGGGTTCTTGTTCCGGCTTCACGCCACCGAAACCGTAGCTTGGATTGGCTCCATTTTGAAGCAAAAGCCGCACAAGCTGCGCCGCCTGCTCTGAGGTTCCCCGTGATGCATAATGGAGAGCCGTTATTCCCTTGTGCTGTTTCCGACCGATGTGTACGTCCTGGTGTTGTGATCTACTTGGCCCAGCTTTGTTGTCGAATTGGGGGTCTGAGTTAGGAACAGTGATTTCAACTTCCCGAGGAAAGTTAACAGGAGCTCCTAACCGTAACAACTCGGCCGCTAAGGTTATGGATGGTTTGGAACAACGGGCTAGGTCTGTCAACGACCAACCCAGGAACTGCGGATCGAGAGGCTTGCCGCCAAGGCTGTCGATTAGGCGATGCCAGGTGTGAATGAGGCGGGCCTCAAACATGGCATTCTTCCCTGCGGCTTGAAGAGCCGCCTGGGAAAAGATTACCGAGCGCTTGTTGTGCTGTGGAATCAGCTTACAGGGCTTTCTTTGAAGCCGTCTATGGCTGTAAATTTGGAAAGCACCAGTACCGGGTGTGAAGGTTCCGAGAACTCGCATCGGACTTATGATGAAGTCCTCCCACTCAGCGTAAATATCGGGTGATTTGGTTTCTGTGACAAGCGCTGCCAAAGTCCAATAGTGCTGAACATCTGTTTGCTTGCCTACTCCATTCAGAAGCCATCGGAAGAGGTCTACATTTTCACTCCCCAGGACAGCCTCGTATAAATAATTCTCGAAATCGAGACATCTTCTATATGAGTCGGAGAACTGGGTTAGTACTGTGACCATCGGCAAAGAACCCATCCTCGCGGCGACAAATATGACTGCAGAGCTGATCCGATGGCCTTGTTTTAGGTGTTGCAGTAGTGCTTTTAATCCCTCGACGTCACCAGCTCTGATTAGCTCAGCGGCTAGGCCATCGACATCAGTCTCAGAGAGCTGATCTGCAGATAGACTCGATGAACTATCAGAAACAGGGTTACCGTGCCATTTCAATGAGTGATGGCTTAAGGCCTGCTTTGTTGCAAATCCGGGGGCAAATTCACAAGACGGCCGAGGGCAACTCCAAGGTTGCGTGTGTTGATCGATGTGCCTGTCGCGGGATTCGCCCGTGGCAAAGCCATGCCGGTTGAAATTGCACTGAGGAAATATGCATCTGAACAGCCTCGTCCCATAATGTCTCTGCAGCGAGGTGTAGTCGTAGGTCATCGCTGGTTTTGTTGCTTCGTTACACAGCGTTTTGTCGAGCAATTGAAATAGGCGGAGAGAAATGTGCGAGACAACCAAGGGATCCAAATTGATCCATTCTGGACCTGTGAGAAATGTAATGTCAGCCCGAGATCGAAATATCTAATTATTGGGCAGTACCATTTCTGAAGTTCCAGTCAGCGTGTATTACATTCCGACGAAATTCCACAAAACAACCGATCATCTGCGAAATTTCTGGACTTTCCGACCCAAAGACCGCAAATAAATCTTCCTCGGCATTAGCCTCGCCTCTGAAGGTATGATTTTTCAGCTTTGCCGTAAGCGAAGCGAGTAAAGAGAGCAAGCTGGAGCGCTGTGGCACTTCCTCATGGTTTCCAAATAGCCGCTGGAGGAGGTGAATCCACTGATTGACAGCAAACCAGTGAAGTCGGTATCTCCCAGCAAGCATGCTCAACCGGAGTTGATCATCTGAAAGGCTTTCGTTATATATGCCAGAACAAAGATATTTCAGGAGTGCTTTGGTGAGACTGCACTCAGCCTCAAAGCGATATATGAAACTGCTGATCTGTTGGCTAAAGATGTATCTTTATATCCAGTCATATTCATTAGCGTTCGAACACTCTATCTGTCCTTAAGTTTGGAAAGGGGAGACCTACTCTTTGACTGTGAAATGTACAAACTGTGGTATGTCGTCCACGAGCTCCACAATGGGACCACAGATACGAACAAAGTTTACGGCTGTCGTAACAGCAGGTGCTGATTCAATGCCTACATCGATCAGCAAAGCTTGTTCCATCTCTTGTCGAGTCATAGGAACTGGGGCACAGCCAATCCAACCGAGGATTGTCCTCGCTTTGTGACGCAAGGGTGGCGAAGAGTTGTTGATTCGAGCAAACACGCGGCCGTAGCTGCGAGAAACCATATTAGCCAACACCAATTAAAATCGTGATATTGACTCACGCGTCATGTAGGTTCAATGGGAGTGCTCTCAACTCTCGTTGAATTTCGCGGAAGTCGGTAAGTGATTCGACGTTGTCCAAAACGATACGAACAAACAAAAACATCCCTTAGCATGCACATTTAGCATACGATCTCAGGGGTTTGCCAAGTCCACTGATGGCAGATGGCTCTAATTTTCGACAGGATGAAACAACTTACCATTTGCCCTCGTTACCAGAGGACTGAGAAGACCCTGTATTTGACATTGGGCTTCCTGGTCAAAATCCCCATCCTGCATCCAGACATGGGTTCTTTGGTCGATGTAAGACTTGAGACTTCCATGATTGCACTTGTCTACGCGAATTCCAGATGCTTGGAGATCCAGTACTCTGGCGATGTCGTCTTCAGGCCGGCTAGTAATGAGAACTTTTGTCTCTAGACACACCTTCAGCTCAACGATCAGTTGAAGTAGTATTGTGCGTTCTGAAAGCTCGATCTCATCCAATCCATCGAGAACGATGTAAGTAGGTCCGATAGCTTTGAGAAAAGTTTTGAAGAGCGCCAACACGCACTTTGTGCTGGTTGCAAGTTCCCGTTCGTCTGAATGTATCAATGCGGACTGTAGATCCTTATTACTAGACGCCAACTGGAAAATCAAAGATTGTAAAATGGACCTGGCAGTTGTGTTGTGTTGCCTAGCATGGGTTGCAAACATGAAGCAAGTTTGGTGTTGTGTCTTTACTTGTTCGATGACAGATGCAGCAAGAAAGGTTTTTCCTTGGATCAAAGTTAATCAAGATTTAGTTCACATGTTGCAGTCTGCAGATAATGAGTGCTTACCTGCTCCGGGTATGCCCCAAAGCCACAACAGATTCACGGCCGATTTGGAGGTATCAAGCCACGCCAAATAAGTCTCGCTATGCTTCAGCCATTCGGTCGAACCCTTGCATGAACGATTGAGCAACCAATCAAGCCGATGGTCATGTGTTTCGGGTGAAATGTAATTCCTTAAAGCTTGAAATTTTTGAAGTTCTTGGAAGTTGCTTGTCTCATCAAAGTGAGCTAGCGCCTTCACGCGAGCTTCGTGTTCGGCTTTGATTTGTTGTAATGTGGCCTCACTTCCCAGTAACGAACCATGCCGCTCGATGCTTTCGACTACAACCTTGATTCTTTCTCTTTGTTTCGGCCATACAGATTCGAAGAAGAATTGCCGCCCTACAAACAGTCAATAACGTCGAGATCCAGTGACTTGATCATTGCCTGAGAACCCACGCGACAACTTGAAAAACTCCAACAAGATGGCGTAGAAATCGAGTATATCCTCGAAAAACAGGGCGAGAATATTCTTCAGCCTTTCGCTATCGCTGAAGATCTTGACGGTCTCGAGAAATGGGGGCAGTACGTCGCCGATTCTTGATGTCGCAGATACAATTGCGTCCGCAAGCTTGGCAATGTTGGCAGTCCATAAGAGCAGTAGGCGGATCGGTCCCCATATTAAGGCCATGACGTCTGGTTTGACCTGCACAAAGGTATCCACCACCGAGGCATAGTCTGACAACTTATCTAGGAAAGTCTTGATCTTCCCCATAAATCTCATTCGTTTCTCAACTTCTTGCCTCTCCTGTATCTCATTCGTCGTTTGCCAGACTTGCTCAATGCTGGTTGTTTGTAATAATTGCCGGAATAGGTCTTTATCCTTCAACTTTTCCCTAAACGATCTCTTGGCGTGCTCGAAGGCTTGACGGGCGGGGTCAAACGTGGACATTATGAGTTCGACATGTGTTGTGCGTATATGAAAGGCGGATTCGGTGATAAGTGAAATTATGTGGGAAGCTCCTTGCTGAAGTATGTGGGCGTTCTGCACTTTTAGATTATCTGCCTCTGAAGGGACCACCAGAGGGGTGGGTCAATGGGACGATTACGGAAGTCTATCGCGACCAGGAGTAGCCCAAAACATGTCGATTTAAAATGATTTCGCCAGGTGCAGGCATTCCGACTGGCTGAGAAGCCAGAGAATGGAGATATACGCCGCTAATGTGATGTGGGTCTTCACCCCTCTGTTCCACAAAACCTCAGCCCCTGTGTGACCCCAGCAGCCAATCAGACCTTTGCGAGTTAGTGAGCCTAGGCTGTGCTTCCCGGGACGCTGATCCTAGGAAAAGTAGCGCCCGCAGTAGCTGCCCCAGTAGGGGGTGCGGTTATACAGGTGTACAAGCAAGTCCTAGGAATGGCAACTGGCCTCGATGACTGCGAGCCCAATATCCTAGGATGTACATATGACTAACTAATCGCATGCAAGATGATTCCTAGGATTCGCAAGGTGTGGGCAGTACACACTGCTCATCTGGACCAACGAGGCAAGCAATGAGGCAATACGACTGGTATTGACGGTTGGTTGGTGATGTTGTGGTGAAGGTGGCTGCGGTGGGCTGGATCAACCAGGAGGTGGATCGGGCAGCTGGTGCCTGGGGCACCAGCCACTGCCTCAGGTATCCACAGTCCCACACAAGGTAACCTCCTAACTACTTCCTAGGATTAGAAACCTATCAAATTCTTTACCGTTCACCAAAACAGCAACCTGGGATCTGTTCCTGGGAACCGTTCCCAGGAATAGGAGACCCTTGCCAGCACGTCATTCCGGAAACGGTTGTTTGAAACCTAGGACCTCAAACATGATTTCAACATCACCAGGTAGAGCATAGCCTCACTGCTTACTCCAAGCCTCTCATCAAGCCACTTAGAGTCACTTGTACTTCCCCACAGCCACGCCCTACCCTCCAGTTGGCCATGGACATGGTGCAATTAGAAGCGGCCGCAGACGGGTGAGTCGTTGAGAGAGGCGATCGCACTTGAACAACAGAGTGTGATGCCACTACACCACGCCGGCTGATCACTGTTCAGGTTGTTAGAAATTCAATTCTTCTAAAAGTGGACTGGGGGGACTCACTAATGAAAAAGATCATGACCGCGGCGATTATGAAAAGACAGAACTAATCAAAAGTGTTAATGCAGTGGTCCATGTTGTTGATGTTTCGGTAGATGTCCTGTCGCGTTTTGCCAGCTTCTAGGATAATCGCTGTAAACTCTTCGAGGCGGATATCATGACTTTGACCATCGCTTAGGGTGGTGAAGACCTTGGTGGCTTCCGGTGTACGATGAGGACCGAGAATTTCCTTAATGTCATTCAGAGTCAGGCTCGACTTATCTTGAGCGACACAGGAGAACCAGATGCGCCTTGCAAGTGCAGTCGCCGAGTCTTGGTTTCCCCAAGCACGCTCTATGATAGCGTAAGTACTCGCTGGACGCATCCAATGGGCATTGGGATCGTCGGAAATGAAGTTTCCAAATAGTCCAACCAGCTTGTAGCCGTCAAGACCTAGTCGAGCAAGGTAGCTTGAAACCCTCATTCGCTGTTGCTTATGGCTTCCGCCGTTGGCATTGCGGATGACCATGTCCTCCTCATCGAAAGTGCCGCGGTGGACGGGTTGAAGATATGTTGATGCGTCGAAAAGTGTAATAAGGGCATTCTGGATGTCTTTCGTGCGAGTAAGCTTGGAGTGATTTGCTCGATAGTGGTAGTGCACGGAGATGTAGGATATCAATAGCTTCTCGACAATATAGAAGGCCACCCAAAGGGTAGCTGGTTCTAAGATGTCGGCCACAACATCATCCCAAGCAAATGTGTTCGAATCCTTGTTGACGTTGACAGCAAGGAGTTCGTCTGTGTTGATGCACTGGAGGCACGGAAATGGTTAACGCCGCCACGGAGATACGACTGACTATAACTTAAGTACTAACTTACAGCGGCAAAGAAGATAAAGGTCACAATAGTGGTACCTAGAAAGCAAATCGGGCGGCGCATGAACTTCAAGATTCTCCAGTACCTCTGATGAGAAGAGTTGATGTATCTAGGTAAAATGAGTTTAAACGATTGGTCAGGCTTTTGGTGGCAACTCGTGTACTGACCTTGCAATAAACCTAAAAATGTACGGCAAGCCGAGTCCCAGGCAGTCGAAGATAACGGCTGCCACCCATGTGACCTCCAACCATAAGCTGATGTAGTAGACTAGGTTGCGATACTGTTTGTCCTGAATTGACTGTGACGTGGAGTCTTCGGCGAAGTCTGCATCGTTGCTCAATGTGATGAGGGGAATGAGAAATGCGATGAAACGACGACGACGATTATACAGTATCGAATTGCCCACCAGAAAAGACGTTTCTGTAATGAGCTATAACGGTGGGCGGCAAAGGGAGCGGTGACGCGTTGATGCTCCCAGAGTTTTGAAGTCCCTCTGTCGCTGGCGAGGCCTTGTGTTTCTACCCAACTCTTCATAGCGTGGTGCCCTGGGGAGACTTGATCAGGCTGGGAGGGCAGAAAAGAGGTTGAGGGAGGTACAGCAGCCGTAAAGCTGGGGCAAGATGAGGGAGAAGCAGGAGGAAGCCGGGTATCTGGAAGCACACTTTCGACTTGCTCACTTGGAAGAGGTTTTCGATAGCTGGGAAGCAAGCTGCCATTAGAACCAAAACCCATTTTGGGTTTCTCTGATCACATGCAGTGCATCTGGCAGGAGAACATACGGAGGCTCTCAACATTTTATGAAGTGCAGGGTGTCTTTTCGATAGAATATGTCTGCCTGATGTCGGCCATTCGGTATTGTTGGAACAGCAAAGGCTGATAAGGAGTAATAGGCAGGTACCATGGGCTGGCTGGCACCTGCCCTGGGCGAAGTGGGACAACTGGCTTAGTCATCACGGCCGGATAAAGGTGGGGCAACCACACAGGCCGTCACTACCTACTTCGACCGACTCCTGCCTACAATGTAAGATAGAACAACAACAAGAAGAACAAGCAATAGGATCACCAACAGACGAGTGATAATTGCTACCACTATTTGTCGTATACGACCCCGTGAACCAACATATATAAATTGTCTAAAGGTGATGAGCGTGTCTGATTCAGCTCTGAGCAGCATGGTAAGTGCTCTGATGGCGCGTACCGCAACTATCATCATGATATAATCATCCCATCCGAAAGAATGCTGTGTGATCCAGCGAGCGTAGAACCGGAAGATTACGAGAAGCCAAGCGGCGACTTCAAATGATCGCAGTGCGTAAAGAAAGGAAACCTGTGACCGGATGGGATCGTTACAAAAGTCGGCCTTGGCTTTCTGTGCCGCTGTTGACGATGGAAGTCAGTAAAGGATTGACTGATGCAGAGTGGACAACTCTTAAGTGGCGTGCATGCAGCATACCTATCCCATCAATAGGGGCACAGCCCGCCACAGCGCAAGTTTCAACGTGCTTGTAGAAGTCACGTTCATTGCAAACACAAGTCTGATTTGTGACAAGCCGACATGGAGTTTTCTCAATCTCCTTGGCAATACATTGAAGCTAACAATATCAGAGGAGTAGGCTCAAACTCTCAATTTTGGTTTTTATTGAACATACCACGCATCCGGGGAAACCGGGACTTGTGTTATTGGATGGAATTTGACGTTGGGCAGTGGATGTACTAGTTATTATGGCCAGAACCCATAATCCTGTAATCCTTTGGAGCATCGTAGTCGCGCCCAGTCAAATGCTAGGTCGATGAGGTTGAGGCCTCAATACTTTCTTTCTTCACATGGTAATGGCGGGTACAGAAGGGTTTATATGCAGGGTCCATCTACAATCAGGGTACACATGGAAGCTTTGGGAGAACAATATGAAACCCTCGGGTGGTGGTCACCCAAATACGAGCTAAGATTTCCGATGAGTACAGAGTACCTATCAAAAAGTTGATGTTTGACGCCCGTGCAACTTCTACTAAGGTTTATGTCGACCATCGGATCAACATCACTGGCCCCAGACCGCGTGGGGTGCCGGTGCCCGTGGCTCTGGACTACCTTAGGTAAGGGAATTTTCTTCGCCCGTGGTTCGTTTCGAGTGGAGGAAGTCTCTCTTCTCTTCAAAAGCACTTGGGAACCGACTGATTCGGGATTTTAGGTTCATAAATGAGTTTCGACAAGTTCAGACGACCATGGAGCGCTTCCAAATTCTCCGCATCTCGCGGGATTCGACCAGATTGACTCAGGGGATGGGCAATCCCCGATTGTTCCTCTGCGAATGAGCCCATCCAGCGAATACGTCTCATACTAGATCTGGCATCTGTTCATTGATTCGGCATTGCCTTAAGACTCCGTGCAGAAGGACGCTGTGCGACAGGGGCCGTTCGTAGAGAGGTAGTCCGTTATTCATTTAATCGAAGAACACTCAAGCGGACAATTTCAATCTTGTCAAGGACGTGTTACATCCGCCACCCACTCAGGGGCTCTGGAAAGAGTACTTATGCTTCGAAAATCAGGAGATTTTGGAAATAAGCTCAACTGTCAGTCGGGGCCACTCTTACAATCATGGTCCGTGACAGGGGTTGATCATTCTGATTGCCCCATTACTTTATTCCTTTCTCGGGACTCTCTGCCACTGTGTCTGCATAGCATTGCCGCCGAAACAGAGTTTTCAGAACTTGCTTGGACGTTTACTTCCAGCCAATGACTAAGTGAGTGGGTGCGAACACAGTCATGTTGAGACCGTCTCCCTCTCCACAATGACTTTGACCGAGTAAGATTGTGTGTCCAGTTGAAGTAACACCGAAATCACCGACTTCAAGAAGCTGAGCCAGTTAGCGAAGATTTGAGGCCCCTTCGAAAATCTTCCCCATTCTTAGATATGACGATTTGTGCCTGCTGAACACCACGAGAAAACGGCGGAAGATGCCCTAACGCCTCGATGAGGATGGAGAGCAAGGAGCAGTATACCGCATGGCTGATTCTATGACCGTCGTAGTCCCTTTCGACAGCCTTTTGGGCGAGCCTAACAGCGGTGAGTAGGTGCGGGAAGGAGTAAACCCCTATGAGTGATGTTGAGCAAGCAGGAACGTCTCCGTTTAATTGTAGATCGCATGCCTCTGAAAATTGAGGCAAGATGTAATCTGTCTTCAATCCGTACTGAATGACGTTGAAAATTTCACATTGCGCGTCTTGCCTCAATTTCGTAACTTGGCGCACGAGGTCCGACCGATATGCGTTTTCGAGTGTATCGACCACAATCAATACTCCTAGCCAATACTCAAGACTCAATTGGAACCAATGCAGTCGGTGCTTTGGATCTAATAAGTTGAGGCGTCTTTGACAGGTTTCGAGAAGCGGATGAATCGAGTTCTCCCATATGTCGAGGGCATCAAGTAGCGATTTCCAAGTGAGTTGAAGGGTTGTCTCATCCACTCCCTCCCTCACAGCTTCCTTGAGAGATGTGATGGTTTTGCAGAAGTACAAAATTCCGACTGCCGCACCTGAAAATATTGGGCAAGCATCTTCATCAGTGAGTTCTAACGTCCCTGCCCGCCACCTCTCAATCTTGGGCTGGAACGAGCTTTTGAGGAAGGCCCTGGCTACAATCCATACCGGCTCTAAGCAAGCTCCTTTCAGCCCGGAGGTCAAAGATGACCTCAAGTTGGACACTAAAGAGTTCGCGGTGTCCCATGATACGGCTGCCCAGTATATTCTGCTCTCGAGATTGAGGAACTCGGTGGTTACGTGGGTTCCCACACGCCCGTCACGAAGGTTCTGAACTTGGGAGAGAGCAGCATGGAGGCATACTAGACCACTGATGCCATCCGAGTTCTCTTCTTCAGATATACCTATCGGAATAGGAGTTTCTGAAAACAAATATAAAGCCAGCACTGATTGGTAAGTCACTCGAGTGAGAAGTTTAAGCATGTTTCTCCTCGCAATGCGCCAACTCTCTCGAACAAATTCCTCGCTCTGCGTTTGATGGATGTGGCTGAGGGTTTTCACGAATGGAAGCCATCTTGCTGCGTATGCTTTTGTGGCCGTGTTGAGAATATCGACGATCAGGTCAACGGATGTCGACGTTCGCACCGGAGTCCCGAGGACGAACGTTGTTCCCTGGTGGCCTGTGGCCTTGCTCAAATACAAGTCAAGTCTGCTGAAGATTTGGGAGCCGCAGGCCCTGACGCCATTGCTCGCTTCGCTACTAAAAAACGCCGTGCTCACTAGATAGAAGCTCGAAAGAAGGTTCGAAGACTTCATGAAACAGACGAAGGCTGACAGAGGATAAACACGACCCTGCTGGTACAACAGTGTCTGCCGTTTGATTCGAATCCTGACAGGCGGCACTCGTTGCTGATGGTGGCATTTGCGTTCCGAAGCTTGACCCCGTGGTCTCTGTGCTGGCTCTTCCAATCCACTGGGTAGCTCCTTAGTGCAAGTCTTCTTGGCTTGTTGATGAGTCTTACCTTGAAAGAGCAATCCTGACCTCTTGACTCGCATCGTGAGCATGATCCTAGCCAAGTGGTGCTGCGAGGCCTATGACCACGACGCGAAGCGTCGCAAGCAACGCGTGACTGACGACAAGCATCGCAGCTCGAAAACTGTGTCCTCTTCTTTGGTTTCATCGTAGCGGCTATCGCACAGCATGAAAACACCAGAAAGGTCCAGGACTTTGGTCCGGTGGGGGATTAACAAGGCTCGGGTGGCTGGTCAAACGATGGTAGTTGGTCTTGCTTAGAAATACAACGTCAACCAACCAATGGCGTATGAAGTATTACGGGTATCTCAAACACTGGAGGAGCCAAGGTGAAGGAGAGCACCCAGAACCTCTTGCAGCCGCATTTTGCACTTTTGGACACACATCTTATTTTTACTGTTGGAATAGGCCTACATTAGGCAGCAGGAGGTTGCTGCCGCGGTCCGTTCCAGCCACGGTGGTCCGTGTGGCTCAGCCACACGAGGGTGGTATACCCCAGACTTCCTGCCGCCGCTGGCACCTGGTTAGACTTCCACTGAAGAACAACAAGAACAAGCAATATCACCACTACAGTCGGTGATCGTTGCTACCCACGATACTCGAGTATTTTCCTTTTCCACCTGTGAATCCAACAGTTACACTTCATTGCATAGTACTGGTTATCCATCAACTTTCCCGCTGTGCAGCCTGGGAATTTAAATTAGTCCAGTAAGCCGGCCAGCAACGCTCGTACTTCATCTTCCGTAAGCCCCTTCACCCCTAACAGGTCCTGAGGTCGTTATCCAAATGATCTGAGAAGTCACAGCCATGGCCACTAGTAAAAGATTCACAAAAGCAAAACTTCAGCATAGCAGCGTCAACATCAGCCTCCGGTCCCTTTTCTAACTCGAGGAGGCCCTGTCGCCGTACCTATTCCGTGTCAATGCTGATCGTCTCCCAAGCCTTTCCATCAATGTCTTTGGCGAACCCAATTAGCTGGTTTTGAGTGAGTACCGCCGAGTGAACGTAGACGATTCGATTCGCTGTTTGAGACTGGTGCCGAATGACACCCAAGACGGCAGAAGCGACATCCTCGAGGGTAGTAGCGCTGAAAGGAACATTGCCACCATTGTACAATGTCGCTGTATGCTTTTCCAGATTGAGAATCAGCCCCATCTGGAGACCCCAGTCTAGAAAGAGTCCATTCGCAATGGCAGTAAACGTGAAAGTCGGGTTCGACTCTGACATCTGTGTTGTGTTGCAACCTTTGGCGCGCACACGGGCAGCTGCGCGCAGAGAGGGTTGGCAGAGTCCATGCCGAACTCTGCCGGAATGAATCTATTTACCCCAGCTGCGACCGAAGCGTCTATTATGGGTTTCTGGCTGCCTATGGCCAGTGTAGCAACACACGATATGACAACGTCGATTCCGAGAAGAGCAGGATGGAGGGAGTCGAAGGAGGTGAGGTCGACTACTTTGATGGTAAGGTTGGAGTGTGATGGCAAGGCAGAAGCATTGCCACCGATTCGGGACAGGACTGTGACGGTAAATCCGGCGTCGAGAAGGGATTTCAGAATCGGTAGTCCGAGGTTGCCTGTTGCACCGGCGATTGCAACGTGGAATGAAGACATTTTCAACTTGAAGGATTCTTTTGAGTCTACGAAGATAACTCCGATGGTCAGAAGCACAAGAGCTTGCACGCTTATTTATACAATTTCAGCCCTCCATTGCAAACGATGAGAGACTCGTGGCAAACACTCCTTGCACCCTCTCATTGCATCCCCAATATCCCGTTTGTTCCTTCGCGCTTCCAATTGACCCCGAGATCGCTTCCGATACGGGTTCAGATGTGGATACAAGGCCGGTTCCGTGCTTCGGCTCCGGTGCGCGGTACCGAAGCTTCGGTTCCGAAATACTCCAGCGAATAGGCGATCATCCAGGCTCCACGTTGACTGACAAACAAAAGACCGGGGATCGAAAGCCGATTTCTGCGTGTCAATAAAGTTCCTGTGCTGAGGTTACACAACATTTGTTCACATTGTAATTGATATGAGTCCACATCTCAGCACCGACAATGATTGAGATGCACTGCTCGATACCTGTATATAACTCCTGACGTAAAGGTGAAGGAAGCTGACTGGCTCCATGTTTATTCACTGACAGAGTAGTGGGATATTTCGGAACATTTGGCTTGTTCAAAATGTGGCTTATTGAAGTGAATAACCTGCTGTCGTCTACTTCGCGTATTACAATCCTCCTCGGTTTGTAACTCCACAATTCTCCACCATCTCCGTCATAACCTTTGGGGTATAGTTGATCAAAAGAACGAACACGGGCTACAACCCGTAAGTATCAACTTCCAGTAACGTAACAATCCTTCTCCACCGCGTCCACAACCTCTTTCCTGCTGAAGATTCTTCCCTTTCCATAACTTTTGTCGCGAAAAAATTGCACTTAAATGTTCATGTAGGCAGCCATGCCACCAAAGAGGGCAGCGGCGCCGACAGCAGCGGTGCGCATGGGACCAGCCTCAGTGCTGGAGGAGGTGGAACGGACACCACCACCGTTGTTGGCACCAGTCTCAGTGGCAAGCGGGGCAGTAGAGGTGGGGCCGGTGATGCCGCTGGTGAAGGGGTTGCTGCCGTCGGTGGCGGTGCCAGCGCCAGTGTACGCGGGCATGCGGGTAGAAACAGTGGTGTCGGGCTCCACGGAAGTGTTGTTGGGGTTCAAGACGCTGTAAATGGTCAGAGGAATGATACGTAGGAATATGACTTGAAGACTTTACTTGTCAATGACGTGAACGACACCATTGGCGACGAGGACGTTGGGAATGAGAACCTCGGCCTCGTTGACGTAAACAGTCTCATTGATGACACGAATAGTAATGTTTCCGCCGTTGAGGGTGGTCAATGAAGTGTTGGTGATGTCAGGGCTGTACAGGACAGCGCCGGCGACGACGTGGTACTGGAGGATGCTGGGCAGCGCGGCGGTCAGGTTGGCGGTGAGGTTTCCAATGGAGCGGAAGGCCTCGTTGTTGGGGATGAAGATTGTCAAATCCTTGGCGGCGGTGAGAGCAGGGCCGACGTTTGCGGCTTGGACAGCGCCCAAAGCAGCAGTGAGGTTGGCTGCCTGAAGGGTGGCGGGAATCGGCTGGGGAACGCTCAAGACCTTGTCAATAATATGAATCGTGCCAGCGGTGAAGTTGACGTTGCCGGCCGTGACGGTCGAGTTTTCTCTCAGGGCAGAGTAGAAGGTGACGTTGCCTCCTACAGTCTGAGCCTGGACGCGCTGCCCGCCGGTGATATTGGTGTAGGTCTCGTTAGAGAGCAGGGTGGGAATGAATTGGGGCTCTTCGGTGAAGTTGGAGGCGTAGTAGGTGCCGTTCAGGACGTGATACTGGAGAATTGCGGCAACGAGGCCGGGGTTGGTCGCAGCACCCTGAGCACCGGGGCTTGCGAGGAATGCCTCGAGGGCGGCATTGCTAGGTGCCAGGATGGTGATGTTTTGTGCTTGGGAGAGAGCTTCGACCAGAGCCGGCTGGGTACCGAGAAGCGCTGTGACACATTAGAGAACTGCATCTGAGAAGGGCCGATGATGAAGGAAGGGACCGCTTACCTGTGAGAGATGACAAGCTCGAGTTCTGAGAAGCCAGAGCTGCCGTCAAGCTTTGCGTGCTCTGGGCAAGTGCAGCGCTGGCCAGGGCCAGGGGAAGAATATTTTTGACCTGCATGATATCTATTTGGTGTATAAAGAGCTGAAGCTAAGGTGTCGAAAAGGCTGGGTATCAAGACTACTGCTAATTGGAACTGATCGGGATGGAATAACAGAGAGAATTGGTGGAGGAGATGAGAGCATTTAAGGTAATGTGGGAGCTCCTCGTCGGGAGTCTACACGAATCATGCCAAACACCTTGGTGAGCTCAGCCCAAGAGTGATCAAACCAATCGCGTCGTCGTGGGTTACCAGATCGAGCCAAATCAAGCTTGTTGCCCAGGCTGGGTGAAGAACTAGGAGGCCTGCCGGGCTTTTCGTCCCCAGACAAGGGTCTTGGTCGACATCACGACCGCGCCAGGGACTGGGACCTTGAACTGGACCGGGGCAGACACGCAGAACGGGGGGTGGAGAAGCCTCCTTAGCTCGCGAAAGAGCACGACGCTGGCAGACGACCAATGAGCTGTTCAACAGGATCGCCAGCCGGGTGCCAAGTCGATCGTGAAGTCGTTCTTGGCCGGTGTATGCGCCAAGGGGGGATTTGCACTGGCCCAGCAATGATCGAAGCTCGACAACATGGCAACCATGGTCCAACTCGCCTGCTCGCGTACCAGCTACTGTGCCAGTGCTTTCATTGTCTTGCATACAAGTCGAAAGACCTTCCAAGAGCCATTGCTAGCAGTCAGTGACTGCAGTCGTGCAGGCATAGACTGCTGAGCTTATACGGACCCCGTGATGGAAAATGGAGAGGCATTTCCCGTCCGAACATGCGATTCCGAGTCCCTTTGCGGTCAGATTAGCATTCTGCCGACTGATTTCACGAAGCTACCAGAAAAATGCGGAATGCCAGGGAACCGCCTGGCTGCTAGAAGCCTGGGGGATTGGAGTCAAGGACGCCATTGACAGCAAGTCGTGTCTTGGAAGTTGCGTAAGCCTGCGCCCGACTGGCGCAGCTTGGGTGAGGGGGGAGTCAGAAAAAGTCGATGTCGTCAGGATAGACCGCTTAGCGCCATTGAAGACGGGAGAGACTCCGATGGCGCCGAACAAACGAGCCGTGCCATGCTGGTTGGTATTCCTGCTTCGTATGTATGCCGGCGGGCTGGCAACATGGAAATCCTTGTTCTTAGTCATGACTACCTTTATTACAGCTTGTAATCGTGTGAACCGCGCGAAACCGAACCTATAGATATTCAAGGGCATGGTTATGTTAGGTACTCGTCTCATGCTTTGGCTTACTGTAACCGTAATCTGTCATTGACTCTAGACCAGGATCGTCGAGCGGTATCTTTCCATCGTCGACACTTTCTACATGTCTTGTCGAGACGAGACACAATTCGAATAAGAAGGGGAAGAGAGGTGCACGATTGTGTAGCACTGCAGCCGCTTCCCCGCAATATCCAGGAGGAAAATCGACCCCAATGCAGGGCCAGTCGGGCCATTCCCATTTTCCCCTTGGGTTCGCCCTAGGAAGTGTCTCGTCTCCATGGTGTGCCAGTCGTTTGGTGAGGTGTTCCGGTCAGACCCCAGCTTTCATTGAGACACGTATCCGCGATCGGTTTAGTGCCATTGTGAAAGCGTGGCCAAGCAAGCGACATGGGGGAAGCTCCTTGGAACCCAAGAGCTCTAAAAGCCGGCTGTGCCGACTCCAACACATTGCGTTATAGCCATTGACGATAGTATCATGGACACGGTGCGTCATCGATTCACTTGACAGATCGCAATTTTGGCGCTTATTTCATAAAGTGAGCCAATGGCGCATTCCTCTCCCTGGGAACCGTTGCTTGGCGGTTGCACTTTCTCTAGCCATGCCCATGTTAAGTCGTCCTGAATGCAATAGAGTTGACCCCGTTGAGGCCTCCGCTTATGTCTAGATGAACCACTTCTCGGTGATTGTTCCCCGACTTGCCCAAAAGCGAGGGGCGCACGCTGGCGCGTTTCGAGTTCGGGAATTTGTCAAGTCTGGGCATCGCCACGTTGAGGTTCACCATCGTAAGAAGCGCGATGGGTCGTGAGGAAAATATTGGGTATCTCTTCGTAAAGCCGCATTGGGCCAAGTCGTCTGTCCCGCCATCCTCCGTGGCCTTGGCGAGTCTTCGCCTGCACACCCGACGCCATTGCGCCTTGTGTATGCGAACTTGCGCGCGAAGTCTCCTCGCGACAGCTAATGATGCTACCCGAGGCAAGAAAACAACAATGTTATCCGTATGCCTCAGACTTAACCCAAAGCTGGATCAAACACGTCGTCACCTTCCGTAACCTTTCGTCGCTTGGCATCTCGCGCCTCGTTTCCGCCGAGCACTCCGCCGTTACCGCCGAACACGGAGCCGTCTCCTTCAGCTTTCGGCTTCCCCGTATCCTTCTGCGAAGCCAACTCTCGTCGAGCTTTTTGTAGGGCCACAAGATCTGCACGATCTGGATCTCTGCACCTTTTCAGCTTTCGTATCAGAGGCTTGATCACCTTGGTCGCCTCAACCTGTCCCTTTGTTAGTCTCACCAAAACTCGAGTAAGGCAACCTCCGAGATCAACATACAGTTCCCCAGTATTCGTCCAATCTCTCGGGCTGTTCAGTCGCCAGTAGCTCCCTACACGCCTCGATCGTTGCCATGACCTTATCCCGTATCTCGTGTCCAGTGAGGTCCTTCTCGCCTTCGTTCGAGGTTCCGTTCTGAGTGGGGCCAAAGGCGCTTTGAACGAGTTTCTCGGCCAGCCCTCGATCAGCTAGAGAGAGCGCAGCAAGCATGATCTGGCTTGGGGTATAGTGGAAGTACGCGTCTGTGACGAGAGAGCTGAACTTGAGGAAAGCGCGAGCACGGAAATGGGCGGCATCGATTCGACTTTTCTATACATCTCGTCAGAAGAGTGCAGCGTTCGGGTACCGGGTTCACGACGTACCTCAAGGTCGGCATGCCGCCGAAGTTCCAGGATAGCTCCTTCCAAGGCGCGGAACGGATGCCTCACATCGAAAGCGAACCGGACTCCTTGACACAGCAAGAACTCTCCTGCCAGAATCTCTTCCTCGGTTGTGTTGGGGAACTTGTCGGCCAGTTTAGCTAGGCGGGTGTACAGTCCCTCAGCCTTGCTTCCGAAGAACAGGCAGGTCTTCAGAATATCCTGAGGCGGGTATGTCATGATGGAGTTCGTGACGTAGAATCGACGCAGGAAAACGGTCGCAGTCGCTCTAACCTCTGTTGGAAGTCCACAGAAGTCCGCTGCTCGGATCAATTCAACGGTGAAGAACTTGAGCAACTGGGTCTCCTCGGAAGGTGTCAAGAATTCAGGCATCGACTCGGCCGCATCTAGATCCACGCGTTTCGTTTCCACGAGACGGCTGATGATGTTTGTTTTCGCCAGGAAGTTTGTCTGTTCTCGCAGTTCCGCTAGCTTGGGCGGGGAAAATGACCACAGTCGATACTGCGTCGAGAGTCGGTATCGCGCATCTTCGGTTGCCATCGTGGCAAACTGGCAAGTTGCGAGCGAGCGATCAAATTGAGTGTACTTTCGAATTTGGACGTGAGAAAGACGAAGAATATGTTGATGCGCGATGTGAACAGAGTGCCGATCACCCAGGTTTAGGATTGAGGTGACGTTCGTTGTATTGTATGTCGTCGAAACGAGGGGTGGAAATTGGTCGATTCAATATCAGAATCCCCAGATCAAATGGCAGGAACAAAGCCCGTTCACCTTATCGAAGCCGATAAGCTGAGCTCCGCTGGCGGGCGAGCAGGCACCGGGGAGCTCGAGCCACAGACGACGCACGTGATGTGGCTCAGCCGACATTTCTTGTTCCTCGGGATTGTGGCTTGATCAACTGGTGGCATTCTTACATCCATTATCGGTATATAAGCTACAGTACAGAGAAACCAAACACAAAGGGCCGGTCATCGATTCAGAAAGTGGGTTTCAATTTTCATCGGTCTACTCTGCCGGATCATCTTTGCCTGGCAAAGATGCAGGTCGCAGTATGGAATATCACCTCTTGGCGACAGCAAAGCTCTATTGAGCCGGTCTAAGGACCTGGGCCTCACTCACCCTGAACCACTTCATAGTGCAGATATCCACTACGCTTCAGGCACTCAGGATACTGACTACAGCAAGTTTACTGCCGAGTAACGAAGAGGATAGAAACAGAATCCATGCTCAGTATCTGGAGAATCGAACCCGGCCATCTCTAATCAATACATTCTTCTTGTCAGAAGCTATGCGATGAGGGAACCAACAGTTGCGGATCCAGCCCACGGATATAAACACGCCAAAACGCCCTGCTCCTATCGGGAGCTCGTACACCCCAGCACGGAATGAACAGTCTATTGATGCAAAAGGACCCAAGGCAAGCATCGCACATCGCTACGCCCCGCCCACGGCCGTCTTCGAAAGAAGAATCTCAAAAAGCGGTGTATATCTAGTACCCAACCTCCCGCTTGGCGGGAACTGGGGGCGCCGGCTTCTTGGCTCGGCTCGGGGGAGGGGGCGGAGGTGCTTTCTTGGCTTGAAGGTTGCTCGTGCTTCGGGTCAAGCTGCTTCCCATGCTAGTAGCCGGGCTTGCACTTCGGTCGTTCCATTCCGGACTGCCGCTGCCACTTACTGTGTGGTCATCGTCGGCAAACACATCGCTAGCCATTGGTCTGCCGGTAGGTCTCAAATTTCCACGCAGAGATCCAATGTGAGAAACAGCAGGCACTGGCGGAGTAGCAGCCATAGATCGTCGGTCGGTCGCAGCTGGCCCCTGGAACGTCTGAGACCTACTGATAGACGGCCTTGGGGTTGTGTCGGCCGACGCGCCAAACTTGACCTCGGATCGTTGGGAGCGGATGGGCATGCGAACAGGCATTGGTTCCGGTTCCTCCTCGACCTGATTGTTGCGGCCCGGGTTGTCGTTGAACGAACGGGCCGTGTTGGACCGCCCGCGACCGTTTGCATAGCGACGATCAGTTGGCGACGGAGGCGCATTACCGCCCGCCCAGTTCTGGCGCAGTCGGCGAAGCTCTTCTGCGCAGCGTTCGTGGTAGTTTAATTCGGCGTCTAGCAGACCAGTCAGGTCCCGAACGTTGTCGGTCTCTGCGTCCTTGATGTCGGACATGCGTCGCATGACGTCTTCGCCAGCTTCTTCGTACTTTGCGCGGGCAGTACGGAGCTCTTCCTCGAGACGGAAATCCTCGCGCTTCGTTTTTTGCATTTTGCTGATAGCTGCATCGTAGGCCAATCGGCGCGACTCGAGCTTCTTCCGTGCGGCCTGGCGGAGAGTGTGTCAGATGGGATGGGCTGAAACCACGTCTGGACGAGCCATGACGTCGGTACGTACCTGATACTCTTTCATCATAGCCAAAGATCTTTCGACCGAGACAAGCCAGTTATCGGTGACTTCTGAGGCGTAGCTTTCCTGAATACCGGCGAGGCGTTCGTTGGTTCGACCAAGAGCTGTGCAGTATGTGGTTAGCGATGCTTCGCAAGGCAGTGCATAGGAAGGTCAGCCCAACTTACAGAGCAGACAGGCGCCAAATTCGGAGTCGGGCTCGAATTCCTCGCCATGAGAAATCATCATGCGACCAACAAAGGCAATAGGAAGGCCTTTCTCCTTGTCATCGAAGGCCTCGCCACGACGGGCAACCCATTTGACGTAGGTGTTTGTTGACTTTTGGAGTCTCTCCATTCCTAGCGCAAAAAAGTATTAATATCTCGTTGGCGAACCGGCTGTCTGCGGAGAGGCCTGACCTACCGTCATATCGCAATTGCATCTCCATTTCCAAGTTTTTGAATTCGTCCGTCTGTCCCGTCTTGGACTCGGATCCCATCTTTTCGCCGGCCCATTGGAAGGCGCGGTCGAATTTCTTGGTGAAGTTCATCTTGGCGGTAACAATATGGTGTGCTGGGAGGGACCGTCGGGAAGCTCTGCGAGAGTGGAAGGTGTCGATTTAAAGGGGGGTCAAGGTTCTTCGACGGTCGACGTAGTGATTAGGGTGACAAGTCGAAGATAAGTTCGGTCGATGCCAGCATTCAACGAGTTATTGTAGAGAAAGACGAACGGGGCGGATTGACAAAAGTCGTTGCGAGAATCGTAAAGGTGTGAGATGTGTTGAGCGAGTGAGTGGACGGTGTATGACGAAAGATGGAGGATGGTTCGGTTTGAGAGAGTGAGCGCAAGACGAGGTCTTGAGAGCAGATGAAAAGAAGAAGAGAGTGATGGAAAGGGAGCAGTGGCAAAAAGATATCAGACACGGTCGATAATGCAAGGAGCAGGGATGAAGAGATGTGCCGTCAAGCGGAAGAAGCAGGTGAAGAAGGAGGGCCGTGGAAGGGGGTGTGTGTGGAGGGTGCTGTGCTTCGTACAGACAGACACTGCTGGAGGGATGGGTTAATAGAAGATGATTTCACCCAAAACGGGACGAGGAGGAGCGAACGGTGGAATCGGTGGATGGATCAATAGTCTCCGTACGGTTTGATATACGGGGTAAACCGTAAACCGTCTAGGTATGAACGTCAAGAAACGAGAGGCAGGTGCGGGCTATGCAGCAAAGGTTAATTCGCAGTTTTGCGACCGTACTGTGCAAGATACGACTACTCCGTACACTACGGATACCTTAGAGATAGAATGGAGCAGGTCGAGGTAAGGTAAGGCATGCGTGGCAGGAAATGCGTAACTGTCCTGATGGGCGTCTCAATGCTCCTGTCTGTCTTGTGGAGTGTCACGGTGCGCGCGTGTGTGGTGGGTGGTTTTACTGAGGTGGTCTTGCTGTTCTGTTGCGGGAGGTGGGTTTTGGAGGCGAGCTAAGGCGTGAGCTAAGGCATGCAGGTACGTATCGAGTGGGGTGGTCGGGTGTCACTCCCCGGGAGGGAAGGGAAGGACTGGAAAGCTTGGGGGGAAGGCAGGAGGGAAGGGAACCACTGGGATGTCGAGAGCGGAGAGCACGAGACTGGACGTCACGGCAAGGTCGGCGGCCAACCTCAGTTGGCTAAGGTAAAGTAGGTAGAGGGACACGTCCGTATTCCAATTCAGAGTTTGTAAAACGTATTTCAACTTTACTTGGTACGGATACCTTTTAAGTTCAAAGCTTGAACAAGCAGTGATTCCATATGTTGGGTGACTGCCCTTCTTGCCCATATTTCCTATCACTAGGCTAGCACATGAGGGCACATTTCCTTGATTCACACATGGAGCCACCACACCTCACAGTACTCCGTACACGAATTGTTTGTTTCCCAGTTCCTTCCCTTTCCCATCCAGCCATGCTGCCATGCATCCTTAGTTCCTTGCCTTTCCACGACTGACTGGGAAGGGAATCTGGGACACCAAAAAACATGGTGAGCCGCTGGGGGAGCATGGCACAAGGGTGGGCCAGAAAATGGAAATGGAAGGGACCACACTCAACCGCCGAGGGGCGAGGGGGTCGGGTGGGAAGTGGCCCCACTCTCTCAGGTTCGAGAATGGAAAGAGATTGGAGGCGGGGTATTCGTAAGTACCTTCCAAAGTGACCAGGCCGTGGCACAGCGGACGCTAGAAACTTCAGGTTCGGAAGGAAAGTGGATGGCCTACCTTACCCCAAGAAAACGGGTAGGTACTTCCAACTAAGCCATGGATAGGTGCGAGATGTAGGTATTTCGTACTGCATCTTTACCAATACCTACCTCACCGGCCAGGAGAAGACGAGAGACAATGGTAGGTAGGTAATCTTCACATTGAGTACCTTACCTATCAAAAGTGTCTTCTAAATTCTGCAATAGCCTTGTTACCGAATTCGTGCAGAACAAGACAAGGTAGCACGAGCAGGACGAGCAGGGCCTGGATCGTGGCAGGTGCATTCACTAATGCACACCCCGTCTTCGAATCGCAAGCTTGCAGGTTTTCTCGGCGGTTTGTTGGCTGTTGGAGATGGCGTTGGGTGGTTGGCCACCGCCAGGCTGGTTGGCAGCTGCAAACCGGACCGTCGAATCTGGAAATTCTGCACCAATCTATCCCGACTCCCAACACTGTTGCTGCACCCTGGCAATGGAACTTGGCGGGGAGAGTGATTGCAGCCGGCTGCAGTGCTGCACAAGGTGGTGGAGGCATTTATGATTTAGCCGTACCTTACGGACAGTCATGACATTGCACCTTGGATATGTAAGGTAACTTGGAAGACGGTCAACCAGGTAGGTATCTTTCTGACACCGGCAGTCCTCCCAAGTCGTCCCAGGCCATTGATATGAAGGGAGTCGAGGGGGGCCCCGATGTGGGGAGGTCTTGAATTGCGTGTCACTATCAGCAACTTGGCCAGTGGAGGCATAAAATCCGAGGGAGGAGGGGCCAGCATTTGAGGATGCAATTGACTGACGTGCCTTCCCTTGACCTTTTCGGTACTTGCCTCCAGGCTCCAGGTAGCAAAAGAATCAGACATTGAGCAAGCAGAGCAAGGTACCTTGAGCAGGTACGGATAAGGTCGGGCCTTGCTCACACATTATATCCAGGTAAGGTAGGCACACAAATAACTTGATGTACGAATACCTTCAACTTTGGACGGGAAGGAGGATGTCAATACCTGGTAGGTAGTGTACAGATAGACTAGAGGCAGGTACGAATAAGCCCTGTGTCTTTCTCCCTGCCGGCTCTCCCAGCCCAATGGCTTCCCGAGACACTGGAACGTCACGACATCGGGGCAGGCAAGAACGATTTCCATTCTAAAGGAGGGAAAGGGCCCGGACCGGGCGAGCCACTTGCCTCAATCCGGCATCACCTCTCACCACCAAAAGTAGTGGACATTTCGGCTTGTTTGTCAACTGAACAGCTTGGTAACCAACATGCAGTCTTGCCTGCGAGATTCCCTTTCCGATGAATTTTCCGTCCCCTCATCGGTCAAGGGAGCGTCCATTGCCAGATGAACGCACTCACACCACCCATCCGACATTTTATACTGCGATTGCCATTGGCTATCCGTCGACTAGGTATTCCGTCGAGTCTACTGCATTCTACTGCATATTCGACCTCAGAAGCCTTCCCTGAACGCCCCAGGGATAACGCCAACGAGTTATACCCGTCCAAAGCGCCCTTCTTGATTCCTTCTTCAACCCTTGGCCGCTGCCAGTCCGAGCCTTTGGGCCAATAACATCTACGAAAACCCCTTTACCGTTTCCCAGCATGTTTGGTTTCTCCAGACCTATCTCCAGAGCCCACAATATCGTCCCTCGTGGACCAGGACCACTCCAGCTCCTCACAGTCTCACACACTTGCCGTTACAATTGGGGTCTCTTCGGGTACTTGATGGGCTGCCGCGTCGACCACATCTTCGGCGCCGTGTCGCGGGACACGTCGATTCAACACCACTCATACAAATAATGCGCTATCCTCGTGCCTCCCGCCGTCTTCCGTCGAAAGTGCTGGCCTACCCTAGCGCTGGCTTTTTCGCGCCGCTTGTTGCATCCTTCCAATCATCCGCTACGCTTGTCGCTCTTCTCCCTTATGGTTTGAGACCAATGACCTGTCAGCTGTCAGCCAGTCAGTCTCAAGATGTCCCGCGGTCCACACCATTAACGAGCTGGGATCCAGGAACACGACCGAGACTTCATCCACACACCGTGCCACCACCCACACGGAGCAAAGGCTATGCTAAATCGAGACAGGTCGTTGGGGACTGGCACGACTGGGTTGTGTAAAGTGCGATAATTCATGCCTGTTTTCTCTAAGTATAGTGTTACCCTTAGGCACTATACTAAGTATCTATATTAATTACATAATAAATACTATATTATATTAAGGGTTTATGTCCTAGCTTTTTAGCCTATTTATTTCTATTATAATTTAGCACAGACCATTTGCCTCTTTTAAACTTTCTTTTATTAATTATTATTATTAATTAAAGAGGGCTAACTATCCATACTTATTATTTAAGCTTTTTAATAATAAATAGGAACATTTTCCTAATAATACTCGATTATTAAAAAAATATTCAAAATAATATAATGCTATTTAATGAACTTAGGCGTTTAAAAGTATAAGAATTTTAATATAACTAACTTATATCTTTTAAAATTAGATATATATATTTTTACAACTTTCTCTATTATTATTTAAAATAATTTATAATTTAATATAAAACGTTTTATATAATAACTTTAATTTAATATAGTTTTATTTATATTAAAAAGATAAGTCTTTTACTTTATTATTTGCTTTATTATTCATATTACGTAAGCATATTATATATCATAATAATCTATAAGAGTTATAAATTAATATAGATATTGACTACGTAAGCAGCATTGATTATGTAAGCTCACGTGAGCGAAAGAAGGCACTGGAAAATAATAGAATGCGCTGGAATTTACTTGAAAAGTATTAAGTATTACAATTACGCATTCACTTAGGTATATGCTTATTAATTATGGTATATTTAGTTATCATAATTAATAAGTAATGGAATATATTAGTGAGAGGATTTTATGTCTATATAAAGGCATTGTTTTACCTACTTAAATCTTTTATTAAGCAAGCAACTTTTTATATAGAAATGTAACTATATGTTGTCTTTACATTTATGAACCTCTTTTATATATGCTTAACTACCTCTATATTCATATATTCTTGCTTTTATATAAATATTTACTTTTTAATATTCTTTTATAAAAATATTACTACCTATTTCTTTAAGCTATCGTGGGAGAACAATATACATATATAAATATTAAAAGATAATTTAAATATTATAGTTATAAAAAAAGTATAAGGGCTTATAATCAATATAGAAAAAAAGATTGATTTTTTTATAAAATACAATAATTTATATTTATTTTTCTAAATATAGTGTTGCCTTTAGGTACTATATTGAGTATCTATATTAATTATAGAATGAATGCCATACTATGTTGGGGGTTTGGGTCCCAGCTTCTCAGTCGGACCACACCAGTCTCCTATTCCTCCCTACCACCTACCAGATCCACTGTTCTCTGCAGCGCTACGCTGAGGGTCCAACTGGCAACGAGGGCCCGAGGGGACACATCGGAGGTCTCGTCCGGGCGCTGCCTCCAGCTCTTCCAAAAATCCGCTTCCTAGCCTCGCCATGTCCGTATTTTGCCCAACGTTGTCGAAAGATGGCAAGTCAAGGGGACTAGAACACACAACATGTTTGATGGATTCTTGAAATCGGCAGACTGGACTATTAGCGAGCTTATCCAAAAGCCAACTTGGAGAGGCCTAACCCCGGCTCATCATCGAGACTAATATTTTACGTATGGCAGGCAGTACGCACAGTCAGCTCTCGTATCCGATACTACTCTCTCTCTACAGCCCCTCAACGCCGCCTGCCAAGTGCAGCGCATTGTGTCCATCTCGGGAGGTTGAGCTTATTGTGGGCTCACTGGCCTCACATCGCCCTGCTTTCCTTGATACGACATCATACACAGGACGAAGCGGCGTCATGCTACTCACTCATCTAGGTATTCCAAACGGCGACGAAGAAAGGCATAAGTTACTTTGCCAACACTCGTGGGCCTCACGTGATCGACCCTGTAACTAAGGTACACTAGCACGACTAGCAGACGATGGACTCGTGAAGTTATCCCAGCCAGTGGCCCAGACCATTCCACGCCTCCGCAGCTACGCAGCTAGAGCCGAGAAACAAGCGCAAGTCTTCTGGACGCGTCGCTGTCTGCCATCTGCCGGCTAATGTACCTCAAATTGTATCACGGCCCTCGAGTGCAACTCATGCCCCGCACTCTGCCCGTTGGACATCCCGGTGCGAATGCGGCTCCGTGGGACAGGATCGGTCTCACGAATGAAAGGACCACGCTCCCACGACGATCTCAACGACAACCAATGCGTGGCCCAGACAAGCTGCCCCTCTTGGCGCCTGTGTCGCTGCATTGGACCGGGTTTCGGCCGTGCTCAGCGTTACTGGGGCCGACAACAGCCAAGACGCCGTTTCCATCTTGCTTCAAACCGCCTACGCCGACCATCTGTCCACGTCTTCCCTTGATTTACACCGGGACTTGACCAAACTTTGTTTTCGCCCTAGGTCACTTGACACGAGCTGGACAGCTGTCGAGGGTGAAATTGCAAGGCTGTCCTGGTTGCTGCTGGAGGAAATTGCCAACCGCCCAAGCAATATGCCTCGTGCTTTTTGTCGAATCAGTCCCTCACAGTGTCTCTGACTTCGACGAGTTGACCGTCCCTAAAAACCTGCTGCCAATGACGCTCAACAGACTCACGGCCACAAGTGGCTGGACAGTAATACAGAGTGACTGGCCTGCTGGCAGACAACAACACATGCACGAACTATCCCAATCCGATATCAGATGCCTCGGTGACGAATCATCTACTCGACTTTTGCTGTCTTCCATTGATCGGCTTCCAGATAACGTCACATTCATAGGTTCTGAGAAGCTCGTTCCGTTTCACTTGGGTCCTGCTTTAACGTCGACCGTTTTCTTTTTCAGTTACCGTTTGTTTCCAGTGAAAGATCCCTGGGGCGCGCCCTGGACCGGAGCTCTGTGGGTGCTATATCTCATGCATTGCCGGTTAGCGGATCGTCTGTCTGGGACATGTCGCTCTCTGAGCTCATGTTAGCGCCGCAGATCTCTCAGCCTGCAACTTTCAAGCACCAGATGTGCGGCGTGCCAACGTATTCGCAGTTACCAGCTTGACCTTACCACCGGCGCCCGGCCTCTGTTACCGACGGGACACCAAACAATGCAGCAACATGGGCGCCCGTCTGTCTACTCAGTGCCAGCCTCACTGTCTCAGTCATGCCGCACTGGGAGAGTCGCTGCATCGCTGAAGCTTCCCGCGACTGCGCCTCAATCATTCGCCAAATTTGGCCCGCTGCCGCTGGGATCAGGCCGGCGATCCGGTAGAGACTTCCAAGTTCCATGCCCGACCCTTCCTCACGCCGTTCCATCTGCCCTGCGCTGATGTTTGGAAACTCACTGGTGGCATAAAGAATCCCCATGACGAGGCCAACGAGGCCCATGCCATTTCGACCTCTGGCGTAGTTATCAGAGCACTCTCATCTTAGCGCGCCTACCATCCCAAACAAGCCACGAACAGCCGCGTCTTTCACTCATTTTACGTTTGCTCCGAGCCTACGAAGCCTACCTACGGTGGCAGACGGGACTCGGGAGTCGAACAAAGGGGGAGGAGCACTGTGGCATCTTTCGCTGACGAAGGGACCTCCTCCACTATGGTGGCATGACGACATTTTGGCCTTCAGTTGCTCGTATCATCAGTCATCCGTCCAGACTCCAACGTCGTATGGGAATTGAGAGCTCGGAAGTTAGAACCCGCACCCCTGATGCTCTCAAAGCAACACACAACAACCTTCAGCCTCAACGCCAATCATCATGTCGGAAATAACATCACACTCTTTTCCCTCGGCCTTTCTCGACCATTGGATTCACTCTCTCAAATCGAGTCGTGGAGAACAGCTCAACGACTTTCCCAACTATTACGTTTCCCATCCCGAGAGCTTGGCGACAACATGTAGCCTCAAGTCTCTCACCGTCGGCAACGGCGCCACTATCTACAAAAACACCCTCCTCCCGGCCATCTTGCTTGCGAAACACGAGGTGATTTTGGTGACGTGCTTCTGGGCTCCGTCCGATACCTTGAGTGCCATCAAAGAAACCCTGGAACTCCTTGCCGAGCGACGTAGAGAGATGATCCAAACGTCCGGCGAGGATGCCGTCGCCCCATTACGCGTTCGCATCTGCTTCTCGTCGCGTAGCTTCTTCCAAAAGATATTCCATCCGTGGTCGCGAGACGGATACGCGTACCCAACCTCAGCGTGGCCAAAGCTCGGATTGCCCCCGGACACCACGCTCAAGGCGGCCCGCATCGATCTCACCGTCAAGAGCCTATTTTTCTTGCCCTTCAGCGTCATGCATCCAAAGTTTGTCATTGTCGACCGCAAGCGCGCTTGGATGCCCAGCTGTAACGTAAGCTGGGAGACGTGGTTCGAAGGTTGTATTGGGTTCGAGGGTGCAGCCGTTACTCAACTGGTCAAGTTCTACACAAACGTCTGGGAGCGCGGCGCCGGCGAGCGAGAGATCCCCGACGACCAAGTTGAAAGTCGTGGTGAGGCGAACCAGGGGCTAGGCCAAGTCGATGAAGAAGACACTGGGCGAACTGTTCCTCCCGGTCCACCTTCGGACGACGAGACCGCGTACCGAAGGCTTAGCCTCGCAAGTCTACCACCTTGTCCGACCATGATCTTACCCTCATCTCATCATTGGTACCCCAGCTTCCGCTACATTCCTGTCTGGCGCCGCACCACGGCTCCTACCACTCCTCTCAATGCGGCTCTGCTGTCGTTATTCGCTAGTGCCCGAACCGACATTGATATCGTGACGCCGAACCTGACTTGTCGGGCTGTTGTCGATGCACTCCTCGAGGCACTTTGTCGCGGCGTCAGCGTCCGCATCAGGACAAGCAAGAATATGATGTTAATCGAGCAGCTCGTTACGGCTTGCACAACGACGGAGTGGACGCTCAATTCGCTCGTCAAGCGATACAGCCAAGCCTGCGCAGAGTGGGGCCGGAAACGGTCTGTGGACGCCGAATCCCATTTGCAACGGCCAGGCCGCCTCGACATCTACTACTACCGCCCGAATCTGCAGGCGACGGCGGTGCGGGATCCAGAAGAGCCGGTCGTGTCGCACTTGAAGATGACGCTCGTCGACAGGGAATACCTCTTACTGGGCTCCGGCAACCTGGACCGGGCCAGTTGGTACACGAGTCAAGAGCTGGGCATCCTGCTCCATACACCCGACTTTCAGTCCGACATTTGGTCTGAATCTCTCGAGTCTAGGATTGAGGTCCGATTCAGCGGAGAGCCCGGCGACGGGATGATGGGCTAGTCAGTCGTGTGTTTGCATACACTGTGTGTGCTTCTGATTCTGCCTCGTCTTTAGATGCCTACTTTAGATACCCGCGCCCCGTAATGTTTACTGATTCATGACCGACGGCGCCAAGCGTGTGTCCTTCGTCTCTCACTCTTGGCAAATCATACGTCTGGGATGACTTCCTCACGACGAGCAGTCCAGAGGATGGCCCTGAGAATCTGTCCAACGAACCATTCGTCCTCATACGCCTCTTCATAGTGGCCCAGGGCTGTATAGAACGATCTCCCACCGTCGAACTCTTGACACCACACAAGCGGGTGATCGTCCCCCATAGAGCCGCCTTGGAAGCTTGTCGGGTCGCCCCGAGCCAGGATGTGGTTGTCCTTGTCCCTGGGGTGCGACAGAAAGTTGTACCACTCGTCCGTCCACTGTTTCCGGACATCATTACAAGCCTCCGCCGGATGGTTTCCGCCTCGCCCTCGCATTATGAAATGCCCCGGATCTTCAATGACACAGGTGCCCTCTTCGGGCGGCGGATGCTGGTCGAAATGCGCGCCGACCAGCTTGCCGTACCAATCATCCTCCCTTAACCCTGAGGCGGCAGCGTGCACCCCCACGAATCCGCCGCCCGAATTTACGTGGCCCTTCAAAGCCGACAATTGCTCAACATTGAGGAACGTTCCGGTGCAGTGAAGGAAGACAACCGTCGCGTACGTTGCCAAGGATCGAGGGTTGATAGAGGCTTCGGCGTCTTCGCTGGCGTCGACGGTGAAGAGTCCCGTGTGCTTGCCAAGGGCTTTCACGGCGGAGACAGCCGCTTCAATGCAGTCGTGTCGAAAGCCAGAGGTCTTGCTAAAGGCCAGAACGCGGAAAGGCTCCCTCGCCGGCTTAGGGTTGGGCGTCATGATGGTCGTTGTGACTGGTGTCGTCGTCAGAGGAGGATCGTGATAGTGGGGTGTGGTTTGGCGGGGTGAGTGGGGTTTTCTCTGCTGACGCTTCTTAGCCCTCAACATTTTCATCAATCTTCAAGTCACCGGCTGTGTGTTCTAGTGGTCATGATTTCTCGTTCACACTATGTGCACAAGATCCCGAGAAGGTCGCAGGTTCGAGCCCTGCCGCGGTCATAGCAACTATTCTTTTGATTTTTGACCATATCGAATCCTGAACTCACCTGAAATGAAGTCTTTTCTTGGTATTGCGGTCAGATTCGAGTGGTGGGTGTACCTTTGTCGTTGATGGGGACTTTGGCTAAGTAAGTTTGTAATGGCAAACTCAATTGAGGATAATGCAAGTAGTATCCTTGAGCGATCAGCCAACCTCCAGGTCTCTCGACGTTATTGACTTCAATTATTTTGTAGATACAGTCTTCACGACGAATTTGTATTTCTAAGCAACAGGCACGTCTTTCTGACAAATGCCTCCGGGTCTATCTACTCCGGGACTCCTCCCGTTCCCCGGAAAGGTGGTCTAAATCTCATCCACTTGAGGTCCAAATTGGTATCCTTAACCGCTGAGATCCCTCTCCCCGCCGCGCTTCTAAGGCTTGCTTGCTCATGCTGTACAGGAAGCCGGTTGGCCAACGCCGGCATCAGACGCGGCGAGCAGGTACTCCATGAAGCCAGAGTTGGTCTCGAGCAGATTCAAGTTGTACTGGCTGGGCGTCGGGTAGAACGGGCAGTCCACCTCATCGTTACCAAACCCAAATTCGACCACGAAGCCGTGCATCTTGCCAAGTGAGGGGTCCGTAAAGTGGCGTGAGTAGGCGTAGTCGTCGCTCGCACCTGAAGTCGGGTACAGGTACGAGCTCTGCTCAACCTCGTAGTGGCGACCGGCGGCGGCGTCCATGGCGTTACCCATCCGCATCGCAGCGAACACCTTTTCCGACCAGTCGTCGCTGGGGATGTACTCGCCGTAGATGCCGTTGTTGGATGGCGTGTCCGGCATCAGACCGCGGACGGCGTCGTACGACTCGTTCATGAAGTTCATGTGCGGCTGTCGCAGCTGGTTCTCGTCGCTGCCCCAGTTGTACAGGACAACGCCGGTGTAGCTGTGGATATCGAGGAACCACTTGACGTTCTTGTGCTGGTCCATCACCCACTTGATGCTCTGCGTCTCGGGCTCCGAGAACGGGCTGGCGCCGTGGTACGTCTGGTCAGTCGGGTCTTCTGAAGCGACGTTGGGTCCCACGCTGGGGGCGAAGCTCTTCGGGAAGTCAAAGAGAAAGTCGAAGTTGCGGTTCAAGTCGATGCCAATAGCCTCGGGATTACCCCCCGAAGCGGCCGGGTTGCGGTTCTTACGCCAGCAGCTGTGTGTGGTCTGGTCGTATGCCACGCCGTCGGGGTTGCTCAGCGGCGTGAAGACGATGCCAGTCGACAGGGCACGCTTCACATCGTCGTTGGTGTACGTCCGGCCCCCATACGTCAACCCTTCACCGTGCTTGTTCGCGTACAGGAGGTCGGAGATGAAGTAGATAATATTATCCGACGAGCCGCGTTCGCGGGCGTGGATGGCGGCGTTGAAGTACACGTGGTGCGCGTCGCTGCAGTTCCCGCCTTCGCCGCCAATCTTGGCGCCGAAGAAGGAGGCATTCTGGTACGTCTTGTACGGCGACTCAAAGTACTCAATGTCGTACTCCTGGACGAGACCCTTGACGGCGCTCTTGATCTCTTCGACGTTGAGGAGGGAGGTGAGGTTCGTGCTGGCGGGCTGGGTGCCGAGACCGCGGGGGAACTTCTTGCCGCCGTCGAAGCGGTCGCCCGTGCCGATGGCGACGCCCGTGTTGTTGGGGCTCGTGGCCTGGCGGCGGGCGATGCGGCCGCCGGAGGCTTCTCCGGGGAGGAGACAGGCGTCGCCCATGAGGGCGAGCGAGAGGAGAGCGCAGGCTTGTGTAGTCTTCATTATCGTGTCGTTTACCGTGGGCAAACTGGCTCTAGGTGAGGAATTGTCGTCGATGAACAGCAGCAGGAGGAGGCCAAGGACGTCGGATTGGCGTCGTCCATGAGTGCGATTGACAACGACATCATATATGACAGAGGTGCCAAGAGCTCATCCTCATTCTCATTTGCCCTGCTCCGCCCAAATCACACTGTAAGCATGCGGTCAATTACTGCACAATGATGACTGCGAAGACGTTGATCAACGGGGTCCTGGGGTTAAATCTGGCATCCCCGCCTTGTGGCCCGCGGCCTGCGGCTTGCTTCATGGTGTTCCTCTCCGTTGGGGTCCTGCCTCCGCTTCGTATCCATGGTTGATAGATGAACTTGAGGAAGCTTGACAAGTTGATGCCTGTTAGCACAAATTCATAAATCCCGAGGTACAATCGATAGGGCAGCTGGCAATTAGAGAAGCCACTTACACTCAACCTTCTTCTATTAATGAAGGACTGATTGATCCAGTGCTGCAAAAGCTACTTATCTTCCACTCTCGATTATGGGCAGCAACGAATCAGGTCGCATAATGGAATTGGCTGGGTCAGATTGCTCTGCGCAGATTTTCTTTTCGAGCCAGTGGACTTACCGAGTGTCTTTCCGAGTCTTGGCAAGGTCCTTTTGCAGAAGACCAAGACGCGACTCAAGCAGGGGGTGCGTGCTTCGAGCCTTCAGGCTTCGGGATGGGTCGTTTGCTTGGTTTCTACTCGTCTGTGGACGTCAATCCCACCGGAGTAACCTTGAATTGCGGGTTGTTGATCCGGGCCCGGCTACTTATATCGTTCGCTAATTCTTCGTACCCATAAGATGTTGGAAATCCCGGTGATATGAGGGCTGGAGCAAGGTCTTCGCCCTTCGAGTCTCGACAGCGCAAGGGGCCATCCGTCGCGGGGAATCTTGACCCGATCTAGCATGTCAATGTACCCCCCTGAAGGCGGTCCGCTCTGATGTTTAATTCTGCCCAGTCACATCTTGGCTTCGTTCTTTAAGGGAATGGGTTACTTTGTATGCCCATGCTCGTGGCGGCCACGGCATTCATACGGGCACCGCTGACTTCTCTCCGTACAATTTATATACCGCCCCTAGGCCCCAGAGAACTCGGCTATTGAATCTAGACCATAGAGAGAGGGCATGTACTCCGTACTTAAGTCGAGATATCGGACTTGTCGCCTACCAGCCTGAAGGTGCGTCTGGGCTTTGTTGCGCGAAAGCTTAAGAGCTGGTTAACCCACTTCGAATAATTATCAAGATCAGTGGCAGCTTTTCCTCGTCTAGGTCAACCTTGAAGCTCGACTCTCTGCGATGTTATGAGTATCAACCAATAAATGACACGAGCCCTTTTGCTTTGCATGGGCATTATACTCCGTACTTGCCTTCAACTGGTGATCTTCAACATCCCTGCAGTATTTGGGACTTCATGAGTCTGTTTTATTAGCTGTCGACGCTTCTCCGGCCGTGCTGTAGTATGGGCCGTGAGTTTCTCAAGATACATTCTTCACGCACGATTTTGACGAGGACTCTTAACACGGATCGAAGGTCTTGCGGGTTTCTCTTCCTCTCAAAACCCCACAGGGTCGACCATCTCTCCATGATTTTCCAACAGTCCTTGGGCGGTGTCGAATTGAACTACAGAGTCGCGAGAACCGCCACTCTACCAACCGAGATGTCTTACTAGGGCTGCGAGCAGTCTGAACATGCGCAATAAGGTCGCAACATCCATAATTTCTCTGATGCGAGCATGGGCAATACTAGAAGTCACAGCAGCAGGCGAGCTCGGCGATGTTGAAGCCGCAGTTGAGGTGTCGTTACTGGGGAAATCTGTGGCACTGTGCTTGTTCAAGATTGGCGGAATACATCTTCATGCTTGCTTGTTACGGTGTGTGAAGTTCAAGGTGTGACTGATGGCGGTGCCAAGTACCAAAGTGTGTCTAGGTGCTTTGTGTATGTACCCTACGACTACTACTAAGTAGGCCGTTGCCTTGCTCAACAGCACCGCTCCCATGATCCGAGACTAGAAGTTGGTCCAATCATTCAATGCGCTGTCGAGAGTCTGGCGGCAGCCTGATACCCCGTGTGACGTAGTTTCAAGCTGCAATATTGAGGATCAGCATCTCTATCCTCATTTTGACATGTTGGTGGCTGGGGTGTAGCGTTTCAACGACTACCCAGGCTTCTCTTAGAAGTGAGACCGGCCTCTATAACAGTACCACACGGCGCAAACGGGAGACTACCTGTGATTTAAAATCTTGGTGGGACCCGGCAGTGTACTGACGAACTTTGATATCACCTGAAGGATCCGTGATCTTGGGGGGATCTTGAATCTCATCCATCGCGGAATCAGGCATACTGAACATCACACCAATCCATTCAAGGGCCTCATTTACTAAAGAAATTCCCTGAAATTATGCCTAATAAAAACAGGGATGCAATTCAGCTTGTAATCCGCCAGCTGCCGGCCTAGAACAAGGTAGGGCATAATCCAGTCCTGGCTTTCATATTTTGGCACATCCCGCTGTGCTGAGCATTGTAATCTGCCGTGCCTTGTCTACGAGAGATCTTCATGGTATCGGAACTTGTCAAGTCGGGGTGCTGACGCAGGGTGGAAGCTCTCAGAGGCCAACTGCAGTTAGGGGTAGAATGATGAATTACTGAAATCTGCTCCTCCCTCGACGTGTACTCCCTGCGCTGTATATATATCTGAACTGCTCCTTTGTTGCTTGGACTCCTTGCTACCTCTAACTAGCCCCTATCTGGGAGGGCTCTGACAGAACTGCTAAAAAGAGACTCTGGGTTATCGTATACAATTTAAGAAACCTTGCGCTCTGCAACAATGCGGGCCAAGAACACGGAATGGAACAGCATGGAATCCTCTCGTTCGTAGTGCCTTAGAGGCGAGTTTTCCGTGGTATTTTAACACAAGTTCCCGTCTCGCGTTATGGCTCGACCAGATCCACAAGTTCTTTACGCCTTGGATGTTTGGCAACATTCATACGGCGTAATCGAGAGGGCCTGTCGGAGTAAAATGGCGGGCCTGTTGATTTTGAAGTTAGACCTGCGGCACAGCACCCCACCCCGGCCGCGATATCCGATTCTACCGAGGCGAATATTTTGTTGGGAAAGGCCCTTCGCGTATTCCTTTACTTTCCCTCTCAAAGTACGCGAAGACGCGGCGGATCGAACTTCACTGCTCTCTTCGGCGACGTTCCAACACCACAAACTCGATCGGGAACTCCAGTATTGACGACTTGCCGGTGTGGCAGCGATGGGTCATGGCTTCCCTCTCACTACTGCCATTTTCATACGCTCAACTGCGAGTAGCCAGTCCCGGCATGTCACTTTTGCTGCTGCGTCAATCCTGGCTCAGATCTTCTCAAGCTTTGACATCAAAACGTCCGCGAACGTTCTCGAGTTCTGCAATTAGCAATATGAGACCCGACGTCGCTCTTTATAACGGGATAGCTCCCGACGGGACACTGCAATATTACACTACCACGCGGGGTGGTAGTAACGAGTTCCTCGTCCATGGCATCCGACACCACGAAAGTTTTGCCAAGTCGCCAGAAGTCAATGAGGTCTGCAAAGTTCATGACAGGCACGCAAGGGCCCGCAACGCGCGTCTCATTATGAGCAACATTATTCCAGACATGGCTTCCCAGGCAGTGATACCTTACTGCATTTGGTATCCCGATGTTGCCACGGAGGACACCTATCGAGAGCTTTTCTACCGTCACCCAGAAATGCGCTATCACATTGGACGAGCTTGTGCCGTTGCAGGATATCGGCAGCTTTATAACGAATTAGACCTACTACCGGATGTCTCCATTGCTGAGGAAGCTTGCGATAATGGTGCGCTCGATATTTTCGAGCACATTGTGAGCCAGCCTTTGAGATTTGCTGTCATGAACGACTATCAGCGATCTGTAGATCTGCAGAATCCACGACCAGGAGCTTGTCTCAATGGAGACACCGCTATACGATCTTCTCTGCAACGCCATCAGCCATCGAGAAAAGACGGAGGTGCCCCCGAGAAGGAACCCAATTTGAAAGGTTGGCCTTATCACTACTTTGATATTTAGGAGGACTCCAGCATCAGTACTTATACGTGGTCGGGGCCTGGTCTTTCGAAGTTACAAGGCGAGCACATCGACCTACTTCACAACCCTCTGCCAAGAGACTTGCCTCCTATCAACAAGGACATTTTGGTTCTCATGGCTGCGTGGGACGGCAATATTGATCGCTACGCTCGGCTCAGACGGCCAGTTACGGTCCCCAATGAGATCACGGCCTTTGTTCGTGGTGCCTACCATCACACACCATTTGCGCGATGGCTCGAAACATGCGTTGACGAGCTTTTCCCCCGTGAATATCAAAAAAAAACTTGTTAGGCAGGCATATCATGCGCGATTCATCATGAACGACGACCTATCCCGCATCGATAGCGAAGTCGACGGCGAAACGCTTCCGGAGTTCTTTTGGTGGCCTCACTCCCCACATGAGAACACCTTGCGCGAGCTGACATGGCGTCGACCTGACCTGAAACACCAGGTCACACTCGCATGCATAGCTGGAAACCACGAGGATATTTTTCACGAGCTCTCTGATGGGACGAAGCCAACACAAGAACAGTGGGAAGCCGCACTTCAATCTCGTCGGAAGTTCTATCTGGAGAATATCGAACGGCGTGCGAAGGAGGAAGATCTTGAATTCTGTGATAGATACGACTGGATACAAGAATACCTACGACCGACCAACGAGTTTTACAGGGGCTATGATGAGTTGGCAGTGATCAAAGAGATCTCCAATGAGCCCGATGATCACAGCGAAGACTGGGATGATTGGTACCAACCTGAAGATAATCTGTTCAATTATCACATGCATCTTCAGATGGTCAAATGGCAGCAATTTATCACTGCCACTGATAAAGCGAGACAAGGACTACCCAGTACCAGCAAAGCGTACGGTGGTCTGTATTCAACGATGGAGGATGAGGAACGGCGATTAGGACCACCTCCACACCCAAAACTTCCAAACTCGTTTCCACTTGCTCATGAGTTTGATGAGTAAGTGCATTGGCAGACTGTATTGAAGAAATGGAGATTCCAGTACGGACCACGGCAGTTATCTCTACGAAGCAGTATTTCAATCCGTTTATAAGTCTCACACGAACTTTCATACTCTATCTAATCTCCACTTGAAAGTGCTCAGGTTCCCTCAACTCTCCAAATCCACAAGCTTGTCGTAGAGATCGGTGAGTTCTCCATGGGTTGTTGCTTCTAAGAAAGAGTTGTCAGAAGAGGAATCCGCGCAGGAAAAGTTGGGGATTTCCAAATAGTAGCCCTCAAATGCACAGCCCGTTAACTGGATTTTGCAACCGCTCAGCTCGTCTCGAACAACCTGGACGACAGTGGACCAAGCACTCTCGCTCTGCATTATGTTGATGTTGTCCAAAGCCAGATCGTTCAAACTCGCACCATGCCGGCGCAACACATCTACCAGATCACCGCCTTCGCCTTCGAACCCTTGGAGGACCAAGGTTTTGAGGTTGGGAGCATGCAGCATGGAGAGATCCCAGAGGTTGATTGAGTTTGAATCCTCTAAGCCTCTATGAACCTTTATGGCAAGGTCGGAGACGGATGGGAATAGATGGACAAAGTCTGCAACATCCGAATCCCAGCCATTTGTCCCCAGCCCAGGCTCGATATCTTCCATATATTCGGATGAGAGCGAGAGATGCAATTTCGAAACAGAATGGAGGGCGCCAGGCGCTTGACTAGCCAATAGCTGTGGAATACACAGCGCGGTGTGGGGGATCGAACTTGGCATTCTAAACGGGGTAAACGGGAAATGGGCGAAGTCGATTTGCAGATGTTCGAGTGGTAGGCGGCTTCCTATGACTGATGAAAGCAATGCCGTGATTGCGCGCTTGGCAAAGACAACGCCGCTAGGTCTCAAGATCCATGGTTCAAGTTCGAAGCAGATCTCATTCTGCAATCTAGAAAGGCCCCAAGGTGGCGATTTGGGCTGACTGAGGCTGCATCCCCAATCCCCAATGAAAATCGTGCGGCAATTCATGAAGTTGGTCATGGCGGCAGTTAGGTAAGCGACGTCAAGGCCAGTAGAGGCCATGTCCGACTGGTCATTCAAACAGCGTTGATGCGCTTGCCAGTTCGGCCCAGGGTTTTCTTCCGTCTTGAACGTTGTGGAAGAGTCATTAAACATCAGTGTCTCCTGTTTTGTCGATATATGAGTAAGGTCAACGTGTAGGCAGTGAACAGCGGGGCCGAAAACAGCGTGACGGGAAATTTCAACCAGATTCTCGAGGCTCCGGCGTTCCGAAATGAAACATCTTGTGCTGAAGAAAATCTTCAAGAAGTGGCCGAAAGCCTCCATGTTGAATCGTTTGCATGTTTGTCGGAAATCCAAGAGACTGTCAGGCGAGATGTTGGAGGCAATCTGGTTTATCAGCTCCGGTGGAAGGTGATCGAGACATGGACGGATGGTCGCCATGGTGGACGGATGTGACTGAACTGTGGGTGAGAGCCACTTGGTCGACTGCGAGTCCGAGTGGTATGGATTTTAAGCTCTGATATTGAAGGGCAAGGGTGGACTATTGCTCGTGAGATGATTGATGTGTGGGTGGACGAAGGAAGACGACGCCAGATGAATCCTACAAGGTGGCAATTGACTGGCTGGCGGGCCGGAACACCTTCTCAATGGCAAATGAGAGCTCGGTAATCTTTCAGTGTGCAACACAATGAGATAAGACTGCCATGAACGTTTGAGATGAGGTCCAAGTCCGTGCAACTACAAATTGGACATCGTGCTCCCTAAGAGAAGTTGGGTGTCAAGTCATGAGACCTCAGAGAACGTATCTGAATTCAAGGTTCTCTAAGTCTGTTTTGTCGTGCATTCCAAGCCTCATCCCATCAACCTTCTCCTCCGCCCCATCCGCATTACCATACCTGCTATCCCGGCGCCTATTTTGCCAAGCCATGTACAGTCGCAAGGCAACCGCAGTTAAAAGCGCGGCGCAGAAACACACCAAAATGACCGCAATAGCAAGAACGTACTTTGGGGCGTCTTGACTGCGGAAAAAGAACGGCCCAGCAATATTTCCTGCAGCAAAGACCATGAGAAGCATTGTGTTGGTGAATGCCCGCTTGGTATGGCCTGCGACGTTTTGGCCGACAATGGTTAAGACAAATGGCCACTTCGAGGAGAGTATTAGTGTTGGATTTCCGCATGCGAGGGAGAGGCCAGACACTCACTGTTACTGCGTACGAGTTGATCAGCCAGTATGCAACTACGCGCCCGTACTTGTTTGCTCCCGTGTCCATAGTTGCATAGACGGCCGCGATTCCTGCGATCGCAGGCAGCAGAGGTATAATCATGCCCCAAGTCCGGAGATTTCCGTACTTGATTGAAATGGTTCCCCAAACAATCATACTACCGGCACTAACAACGGATGAAGGAAGGCCAATGAGCAGGGTTCGGAAAGCGTCGAAGCCAAACCCGGAGATGACAAGGCTTCCAAATGATGTGAGACCGCCGTTAGGAAGTTGAGTAAAGAGCACAAATGCCAATACCAACCAAGTCTTGACATCGATCACTGCGTGCCACATCTGGTAGTACTTCCATTCGTATCCCTTGATGCCAGTCATGTTCTGCGCAACACGCTGCACGGCAATGACTTGCTCCTCATGTGTGAGAAATTTAGCCTTGTTGGGGGTCTCCGGCATGAACGTAATCCAGAGGACCCCTACCAAAATACTGAGAATACCTAGGACGAGGAAGATGTACATCCAAGGTCTCAAGGCGGTGTTGGTGATGTGGCCCAGGCCGAAAGACAACAAGCTGCAAACAATGGAGAACGCCCCTTGCATAGCAGCCCATAGCATCGTACGCAAAACCTGTTCTTTCCGAGTGTACCAGATGGAGGTATACAACAAGATGCCGGGGGTAACCACCGATTCAGCTACCCCGAGGAGGAAACGGACAACCATCAAGCCAGCAAAGTTTCGCAAGCCAAGATGACTTTCCGACTGTCAGTGACACAACAATCAGTCTTTCAGGAAGGGTGAAGACTTACGCAAGCATTAACACACCCCAGATGATCACGGCAGAGCTGAGAATTCGGACTGTCTTATATCGCTGGAGCATGTAATTTGCAGGATATTGCGCCGCAAGATATCCGCTGTAGATGGTCAGCTTGCTCTTGAATCCACAAAGCTGGTCGTCATGACTAACAAGTAGAACATGGAGCTGGCCCAAGAATATTCATCTCCCACCAGACCAAGATCTTTGCGGAAGTCGAATAACACTGCCCATCCCATTGCAACTTTGTCGACGTAGTTGAGGCCATACAGCAAGCACATCAGTACTAAAAGGTGGTGATCAATCTTTCGCCGAACAGCATCGGCAATATCCTGCGGCACAGACTGCGCGATACCTTCCTCGAAGATATCGTAACCTTCATCGGCGACTTGCCCTTTGAGAGCGACCTCATGGTCGGTGGCATTGTCAGCCGCTGCTGGTGGTGCTTCGATGTTGTCACTCATCTTCGTAGGGTGAGCTTTGAGAATATGAGTTGAGCGCCGGGACCTTGGTTTTCAGCATCCGGCTCGGTGGTCTAATATCTCCACCAGAACTACCTATGGAGGGAGAAAGGTCTCCTTACCCATAGGCAATAATGCAGCATCCGAACACTTGGGAGTGATAGATGCACTGACTCGGCCTCTAAAAGCCGACGTCGCTATCAATTGTGGCACTTCGAGTAAGCTTGATTGAATGTCTCCACAACATGTAGATACCACAGTGCAGGTAGCCACTGATGACCTTTCAACCGGCGGAAATATGTTTGTCTCCTTTTTCCCTGCCGTAGACAATGTGCCGGTCAGCCGGACTTTAGCTATGGATCAAAGTGGCTGATAAGATGTGGCTACTTTTGCCGCCGGACAATCACTCCGGTCTTATTATGCCGACGCCTCAGGAAACTTGAGGGGTGCTGTATCGCGTCTCCGCCTGTGACTAGGACAAGATCTCCAAGAAAAAGACGGTGGACCTGGCTTCTGTCCACTTAAGAGCTTGACATGCAGGGTTTGTATCAACGTCTCCGCTTACCTCGTTTTTATGTGGATCGCCGGGGAAGCCAAAGCGGCCGATAAGACTCCGAACATCTCGCATCATACAAACTTGACACATGGATCGGACAAGCACACCGATCTATTTGCGAGTGGCTCTCGATAGCGTGATCTAATCCTTCGATCCTCAGAAGGAAAGGTCCAGTGAGTCGACTTTGGGCAACGTCCGAACCGAGGTTGCCGGCCTTCGCACGTCCCAAAATCGCCACTGACAGTCAGTGTTAGGTGCAACGCTTGCCCAAGGTCACGATCTATCAGTAACTCAATCTTTCGTCTTCGAGCAACTCCACTACGCAGCCAGAGAAACATTACCAAAACCATGCAAGTTCCAGACATTGACCAGGCTCATTGCCTTGCTTTCTTGTCAAGGCTCATTCAAATCAAGAGCTACTCGCAGACCGATGGCGAGCTAGAGGCAACGAATTTCATGGCCGAGCAGATGAAAAGAATTGGGCTGGACTCGAATATTTTTCAGTTCGATAATGGCCGTCGCCAGAATGCTGTAGGGGTATGGAAGGGTCATAATTCGTCAGCGAGCAACAGAACTCCAAGAACCCTTCTCTTCAACGGACATCTCGACACGAATCCTGTTTCAGAAGGTTGGACGATCGATCCTTGGGAGGGGAAGATTGACGAAGAATTCATATACGGTATTGGAGTCAGCAACATGAAGTCTGGCTGTGCTGCGTACTTTTGCGCCGTTGAAGCGTTGCTTAAGGCTGGCTGGCGACCTCGAGGGGACGTCGTCCTGACCTATGTGGTTGGAGAGCTCCAGGGAGGAGTTGGTACGATGGCTCTCATTGATCAGGGAAAGATCAATGCTGATTACTTTGTCAACTGCGAGCCATCGGACATACAAGCAGTTACAATGCACGCAGAAGCCCTGGTCTTCGAGATCGAACTTGTCGGAATCACTCGACATATGTCAGCTAAGGAGGAGGCGTCAGATGCGATCCTAGCGGCATGTGAGCTGATTCCCCAGATGGCAAAGATGAAATTTCGTGGGGCCAAGAGCAGTGAGCATGAAAAGTGCAACAGATGTTCAGTCGGCGTGGTGCATGGTGCCCTTGGGAAAGACTTGGTCGAATGGAGACCTGCGCAAGTAGCGGACGTATGCAAGCTTGCTGGGAGTGCGCGGTACGCTCCTGGCCAGACACAAGAAGGTGTTATGGCCGATATTCGCGAGCTGGTAAGCAAGGTGATTGGCAATTTTGCTGGCATGTCGGCTACTGTCAAGCAGCGATTTGAGCCTACAATGCCGGCCTTTGAGGTATCAAAAGACACGCGAATAGTGAGGGCCCTAAATAAGGCATATCGAGAAGTTCGCAACTACGAGCAGCCAACTGGTGTTCTTGCACCGACTTGCTTCTATGGATCTGATGCTGGCCATCTCTTCAAAGCCTTGGGAATGGAAGGCATTGTCTGTGGTCCTGGAGGGAAGTACAACACCAGACCGGACGAGAAAGTAGATATTCCGGACTATCTTGATTGTATCAGAATGTTCATGCGTCTTATAGTCGACATTTGTGGATAAACATAGACTGAATGACTATTGCATTCTTATAACCCGGTCGTGTATACCGTCAACCTCGTTCGGCGACATTCTGCAGGCAGTAAACAGAGCTTAGGCCGTAAATCAAACAGTTCATCACAGCATCAAGTTGAATGTGCCGTTACAGCACAGTGATACCAAGATAAAGGATATGGTCTCACCTCATCTCATCATCTAAGATTTGGCTGCGATTTCAACCTATCCAGGGAAGCCAGTTCCGTTCTTATCGCCGTCAGGATCTCGAAAACCCTGTAACCCCGCAATCGGCCGTGGGCCGAACGATGACATGAATAGTGCATTGATAGCACAAAAGCCCTGCCACACCGGCTTGGCGTTTGGCCTGGATCAACCTCTTACTTGGAGGCCTTGTCAATTTCTTTGAAAACAACAACGGTATAAGCAACACCTTAGCATTTGGACACATATATTGAGAACCAGCTTATGGAGATCAAGGTCTTACAGCATGAAGCTGAGAAGCTCATGCTTGAATCGCCTGACACTGCGAAACTCCGCCATTGGTCAAAGCTGTACAGTGCAGAACCCCACCTAGCCGGAGACCTTGCCCACGCGGAACTCATCCGAGATTTATGGATTTCCTATGGAATTCCAACTAAACTGGAAGAGTACGAGGTCCTCCAAAACTTTCCAAAGTCTCAAGCATTGCACCTTCTTGACCTCGATGGGCAGACAGCCTTTGAGGCTTCTCTGACGGAGGACGAGGTTCCCGAGGATCCGACATCGTCTCCTCGGAACGGCTTACCCGCCTTTCATGGCTTCAGCGCCAACGGCGAAGTCCGCGCCGAACTGGTGTACGCGAACTTCGGCGAGTTGAAAGACTTTGAGCTGCTCAAGTCGCATGGTATATCCGTGAAAGATAAGATCGTTATTTGCAAGTATGCCAAGGTCTTCAGAGGACTCAAGGTTAGAGCGGCCGAGCAGTTCGGAGCCGCCGCCGTCATTCTGTACAACGACCCCCAAGAGGATGGCGAATACACCGTTGAGAACGGCTATCAACACTATCCTCACGGCCCAGCGAGGCACCCCAAGACGATTCAGAGGGGCAGCGTCGATTTCTTCTCCGTAGCTGTCGGAGACCCAACGACACCCGGATACCCCAGCTTGCCAGACACCGATGTTGAGCGACAGGATCCTAGTTACGCAACTCCAAAGATACCATCACTGCCAATTTCCTACGCCGATGCCATTCCTTTCCTTCAAGCGTTGAACGGCCATGGATTGGGACCTAGTCATATAGGTGGTGATGATGGTGACTGGAAAGGGTGTCTTGCGGCAGTAGACTACTGTACCGGCCCCAGCCAAGCCAAAGTCTTTCTATCAAATCAGAGTGAGCGATTCTAATCACAACGCACTCAGAAGACCGACCAATTTTCTTACCATTGTCACAGGCACTTACAGATATGCCCCGATTTACAACGTCATCGGAACCATACGTGGGACTACTGAAGAGAGCATCATTCTTGGCAACCACCATGATTCTTGGTGTTGTGGGGCTATTGACCCTGTGAGTGGAACGGCAGCCATGAACGAGGTCGCTAGAGCTCTGGGTGATTTATGCTCAAAAGGGTGGAAACCATACAGGAGAATGTAAGCAATACGATGTTACGGTTGCAAGTTTCAGCCCTTGAGGATTGTCTCTGATCTGTGATGCAGTACACTAGCAAACTGGGACAACGAAGAATACGGCCTAGTCGGCTCTACCGAATGGGGCGAACACCACCAGGATGACTTGAGCAAGAATTGTGTTGCCTGTAAGTCTGACATTTTGTCTGAAATACGATGAAAGACTTGAGCTAATACCTGCCCGGACCTTAATGTTGACGAGTCAACCAATGGTGGCACGATCCTTGGCGCGACTGGGAGCCCTCTTCTTGCAAGTGTACTTCGTGATGTTACCCGCATGATCAAATCTCCGGTCAACGAGAATCAAACAGTCTATGATGACTTGCTGAGCGATCAGAAGCGAGCCAATCCAGAGCAGATGGCCCCAAGTCTCGACCTCATGGGCACAGGAAGTGACTACACGGTATTCTTCGATCATCTTGGTATTCCATCCGTTGACCTGCTCTTCAATCGACAGGGGAAGGGCGTGTATCCTTATCACTCCAACTATGACAGTTACTACTGGGTCGAGAACTTTGGAGATGTAGGCTTCAAGAAGCACCTCGCCATGACTCAACTCTGGGGTTTGCTGACGGTACGACTTGCTGGTCTGGGTAACATTGCGTTCGAGGCAGCGGAGTACCCTAGAATCCTCGCCCATAACTTGGAGAAGCTCCGGGCCAAGTATGATGATGTGCTCAGCTTTTCTGCTCTCAGCGAAGCCATCGCACAATTTCAGGACGCCGCATCCCGTCTAGACGCAAGATCGCCCCTCCGAGCCGCTCCGGGAAGTATGCAAGTCGACAAGCAAGTCAACAAAGCCTATCTTCGTCTCGAGCGACATTTTCTTTTGCCAAAGAATGCTGGGCTGCCTGGCCGGGAGTGGTATCGGCATGTTGTGAGTTTGAAGTATGAGGCCCCGGCTTATCATCGTTCTAACATTTCGGCAGATCTTTGCACCTGGATTGTGGTACGGCTATGACGGAGTGATCTTTCCTGGAGTTATTGAATGCTTGGGAGATGGAAATATCGAAGGTGCTGCTGAGTGGCTTGAAAAGATAGTCGCCGCTATCCATAGAGCAACTTACAGCTTACTTTAGAACTGTGGAAAACGTACTGTTGATTTGAAACATCTCAATACAGCATTGGTGGAACATTTTACACGCAAAACTCCCATCCAGACTAGCAGGCTTGGAGTGAAGAACACTTTGAATATTAAAACCGTGTATTATTCCACTGAAACCTCCATCGACACATTCCAAAGAGAAAAGCAACTTCGAGGCACCCTGAGCTTTCCAGGAATGAAGACAACCAAGAACTAGCAATTAAATAACGGTAGTGACCTCCAGAGCTCTCTGTGCACTCTGTCAGCAGGTGACTGTAATTGAGATTCTTTGGTATCACTTACTGGCCCGTTTGAAATACTTGAGTTGGGTACGAGGTGAGTTTTGCTTTGATATCGTGTGGTTCCAGCTTGTTCATCCATGTTGCCTCTGACATACTCCAGATACTTGGGCGCGCCAGGAATGTCGGTATTGTCTGCCATTACTACTGATCCCTTGTGGAGAACTCCAAGTTCCTCGCAGAGTTTCAAATCTGTAAGATAAATGTCTTCCCAGTGATCGAAGAAAACAGCATCAACACTCTCGGGCTCGATATCTCCGTTATTCACGAGGTCTTTCAACGACTCTGCTCCTGGCCCGTCAATGACGGTGACGATATCGCTCATACCAGCCAGTTTCACAATGTCTCGTGCAATCTCTGCTAGTTCGGGGTCGAGCTCAAAGCTGTAAACGCAAATGCCGCTGTTGTTGTCGGGGTAAAATTCTTTCAGCATAGCGCCCCATGCTACAGTCGAGTTGCCAACGAAACTTCCAAACTCGACTATCATCTTTGGCTTTGGGCTCATGTCGGCGAGAGCGGCTCGGGCCAGGTTCATCTTGTTTTCACGGAAGATCATAGGTAGCTTCTCGGTGTTGGCAAAGTCCTCTATGGCTCGCACGAGTTCCCATGGGTTCTCTTTGAATTTCTCTGCAGGTAGAGCGGAAACATGTTCATGCTAAAAAAGAAAATAGCGCGAGCCTTGCAGAACGATTAGAACTGAGTCAGGAAGTCATCAGCATGTTTCCCCCCAGAATGCCGTGCAACTTACATCTTTGATGTCGTGATAGGGATGGGTCATTTTTCCAAATCTATTCAGGCAAAAAATCCGTTCGAGTATGCAGCCTAAGTACAATGCTGCATTTCAAATTGAGACAAAAGTAAGGCCTTTTTATTCTACCTAAAGTAAGCATGCTACACAACTATTCCGAACAGCCCCACAAACAGTAGTAGTCAAGTTCACTTCAGAGCGGGGCAATTCCGAACGCCCAAACGTAAAGTAACCATAATTACAGTGTGTCATCTGAACTTTTATTGGATGAATCGCTATAATATCGTGCTGTGCGTTGCAAGTGACGCATATTGACGCGGTGCGCTTATGCCCATACGAGAGCCTCATTATCCGAGCCACCGAGCTCCTAACTTCTGGGGCTTTCGCCATAAGAATTCAAGTTCAGCTGGGCAGTGCAATCTACCCTCACGACACGCTACTTTAGTTTTCGTCACGAGATCACAGTCTTCATTATTAATACGAGCATCGGAGATCCAGCAGTTTTTAGTGACTGAGTCAAGGGCCGTGAATCGAGTGTTTCAGGCTCGTCACTTCGTGAGGTCAGGCCAAGAGTTGCATACTCGACCTGCTGTCTTCTTCGAGACATTGGGGAGCGATTGCAACCACACGGAGTGAGATAGATGAAAGCTTGAGTTAAGAAATTATCTGAGCAAGTATAGCGTGCCAGTTAAATGATTAGGTCGCTTCCCCATTTCGGCATTATCATAATTAAAGCCCAAGAAGCATGTTGGAGCATCACGCCCATGGAAGAACATGGTTTCCACCACCATTCATTCGAACACATTCTCGCCTGACCCGAAGTATCATTGTATGCGGCCCTAATATCACTTCAGCACAGAGAGGTAGAGTCTTCTGCATGCACCGGGGGTCTCGCTAGTAGAGTCGGAGATTATTTGTAGTCCTTCAGACCGATCTTTCTCAGAACGTTCGCCAAGATGAAACCAAAACCAGTCGTCGTGGCCTTTCGATGATACTTCATATCTCGACCAATCCTACATGCAGTGTCTTATTTATCACATGGTTGTCCCGCTCTCCCGATGTCAATGTTATGATCCCGCTCATCTTTGACGGCCTTCCTTCCATCGGTTCAAGCCTCGATACAAACATAAGTACTTATAATATCAAATTGATCTTATGACTACTTAGACAATTTCGCCTCACAGTGACCGGAGCGAGCATGACTTCAGAAGAAAAGACATTGCAATGGCATTCTTTGGCCTTGATCTCTCCAATACAGACCCAGCATCATCATCTGGCAACGAACTTCTACTTTCCAGGCGACATCCTCAGAGTCTCAGACAACCCTCCCAACTCCGGCGATGAACCTCAAAACAAAATCAGCGCTTCTGACCTGGCCACTCGAAGTGCAATTGCAGATATTCGATCTTCTCGTCAGCTGTTTCGACCGTAAGCAGAACCTATCATGGGCTGTTTGGAACACATGTCAGAAAATAGAAAATGATTGTCCTACACATGACACAGAGTCCATGATATCGAACAATGGAACCAGCGATACTTGGGTCGTGAATTCAAGTCTGCCGCGAACTGATCTCCGTACTTTATTCCGAGAATATGTTCAACTTGAGTAACCCGGAAAAGATGTTCCGGTTCATAGCACAGGCTGGCCCTACAAATATCAAGATGATAAAGTCGTTGGACATGTGGTTACCATACACGGCCGACACTCTGTTGTGGTTGATATTGCTCAACACCTTGCCCAAGAAAGCCGTTGGTCTTAAACACCTTGCACTTGGATGATGTGCTTTCTGCGAGGATTTTCAGATACCTGAAAATAGGTCTGAAGAGAGAGGTCTGGGTGATGACATGCACTTTGTACGTGCTTTGGCTGATATCCAAGGACTTGAGAGGATATAGTTGAGAGGCTTCTTTGCAAAGAATTGGCCATTATTCCTGCGTGCAAAACCGGCGCGCATGTGCTAGAGAGTAGCTTGCCTCACTTCAGGGAGTATCAGAAGGGGACAGTAGAGCTGGGTCCATAGAGAGGGTTTCATGGAAGTACAAAGTCTTCTCTAACAATCTACGTGTTACATCGTTTCACGATTACTGCCCATCAAGCCAGCCATTCTCCCGGTGATCAAAATCTGAGAAGCTAAAGAAGCGCACTCTTCTTGGCCTGGTCTGCATCAGAGGATGATTCGCTAATAGAACCCTCTATACGTATAACATCCATGATCCCTATTCCGCCGGTCTGGACTGAGTTGATACATGGAGTGTCGGCCCAAAGGTTCATGCCGACTTGAGACTCGAATCTTGATCGCAATTCTGGGAAAGCTGTCAATGTAAGAGAGTCGTTTGATTACATCTGTTTTACGAGAATATTGTGGTCTTCTTAAGTTCTCCAAAGTCTCGAGAGAGATTTGAACTTGATTCCGTGATGACTGCCGTTCTGTCACGCATGTCGACACCAGTGGACCACGGTAGCAAGCAGACCGTGAGATCAGCGTTGCAGATGGCCAAGTTGATGTAATTGAATGCCGTTGTGTCATAAGTCAAGGGATCATCAAGTCTCAGCGCCTGGCGTGAGGCTGTCCCTTTCACGTTGCCTGGGGGTATCTTGGGGAAATTCGTGCTCAAACGTACGTGCTGAAGCGTCTTCCACTGGAGTCCCGTCTGCAGCTTTAGGAGCCGAGTAGTCCCACAAAGACTGCTCTATCAGTCCTAGCCGCTTGTATCTTTGAGGATCATTTCCGACCCTTTTCTCCCATCACTTCAAGGGCTTGACGCAATTTCTGTTGATCATATGTGACGGTGTTTTGGAGCAACTTTAGCTCCGCAGGCAGTCAGTCTCCTCTTCGTCTATGGCATACAAAAAGGCATGCAGGTTCATGATGCGAAGTTTCTGGTGTTACCTGAGAACACGTCGAGGTCAGCATTGTGGTTGATAGCTATGATGTATGTTGTGATGTGCTGGTTTCGGTGTGAATATCAGCTCTCTCATGTCTCTCGAATCCCGACGGTGGTTCCGTGCTGGTCATGGGATTGATCGCTTTTGTAAGGCTTTGGGGGATTATTCTTCGTAAGCTTCGACATTACAGGTGCAACATCTGAACGGCGGCGCTTGAAGAAGGAGGTTGGAAGCTGGCATATATATATTCAAGTGTGAAAAGTGTTGCGCCCGCAGCCACGTGAAAGTGAACGCCCGTCCATCTGACGAACAGACTATCTACGGATAATCGGAGGCGCTTGGGCGCCATCCAACGTCAAAATGAGGGAGAGAGCGCCCGCAAAGACGCAAGTCAGCGGGACAGACCCAGGCTGACGGGACGGTAGGAGCAGGAACAAAGTTGATCTACTAACTCTAAAGTTTCCGTGCAGCCGTTGCGTGATGAACGGCAACCTTTCCAGAAGATGAAATCTTTATTGAGGCTAGGGGAGGTTTGAGACATGTCTAAATGACGTTTATTGTTTTTGATCGATCATTTTTTTTTGGTTGTTCACCTCCATGTAAGTGCGCGATGGGGACCAAGTGAGACGGATCAAGAAGAAGCGCGCCAACCAAGGCAACAGGTACGACGAGTGGCTCATGAGCAAGGAAATGGCTCTGACTCTGAGAATCAGAGGCCGCGCGTGTTACCAACATGAGAGCCTTATCTGTATCAGTACATACAAGGAATAATTCACACTTGATGGTGAATACCGTGTTAGCCGGCATTCCTTGGCGAATGCAGTGGGAGCTAGTCTAGGGCAGGCGGCATGATTTCAGAGACCTCAGACGAATGGGGACTTCGGATATGAGTGGTTAGGGGTATTATGAGTGCTGCAGGAATCAGGAATGGCGCTGGTCGCTGATAAGGCTGCAAGTCAGCGGACCAATCTTGGTTATCTCTGTATGAGATGCGCATGGCTATTGGCGAATGAGTGTGGCCATTAAGGTCACTCTCAGGGAGCGATAGGCTAGTTGTAAGATGCAGAATCGTGAAATTGAAGTAAACATGATAACTAAATGAGAAGAATCATGAACACAGGCACTTGATTTGAGAAGATGTGTTGTATTCAAATGTGATGCAAGTGAGAGATCGAAGGTGGTGAGAGTCGTCGTCGTCAATCAGGTGCCCCCGTTTCAGTCGTTCGTTGGAAAACGGAAAGGGAAAGAGGGATGGGGGTACCCCTGCAGTGACTGGCAAGGGTAAGGACCGTCCCACTGGTGCCTGCCTCGCCTTATCATTGCCAAGATGACGCTAGCAATCTCAGCCCCACCGTGCCGAGAGATAAGAAGGGACGACCAATCAGGGGCCCCGCCATTCAAACATGGTCAGAACCAACTTGGCTTGCAGCTTCTCCAAATGGCTTCGTCTGCGTGGCCAGTGGGTTTTGGTCCTTCCCAGATGCAAAGTTCGTTCCCACAAGGCAAGAGCAAACGGAGCAGCAACGCAAGCTCCTTCTAGCGTTCCTTTCCTTTGGTTATTGGTGTCCATTTCATGCCCATTCCGTGTCTGCCCAAAGTGTTGTGCGATTGCGACAGGTACGGAGTACGCAGTACCTTCAGGTACGTATCCTCAACTCGGGACAGACTCCGGAAGGCAGGAAGGAAAGTGGTCAGCAACATCGCTGCACCAGGCTTCCAAGCTCCGCCCACGTCGCCCATACTGGACGAATACTTCCAGTCACCACCAACTGAATCCCCGTCCATCAAATGAACGCTGCCACCACCACATGGGCAACAGACGCACCCTCTCAATGCTCGTGCGAATGGGACGCTCCATCAATGTCTTGACTCGATAATTCTCTGCTCCATCGGGGTGATAATGACGACATGTCGCCCATCCCGAAGACAATCCGGGGCAAATGGCTCGTCAGTTCATCCATGTATCGAATCCCACGATCCTCTTCCTACCGCACATCAACACTCTAGCGACCGGTAAACGATCAGAACGCCACGGCAAAGAGCTAGCTACTGGCTCCGACTCCACGATAAGAGACACGAACCAATTCATTCTGTCCGAGTAATACATGGTCTCCGGCGTATCAACCAGCTAGCCATTGCCATC